GCAAAACAACCAACCAACCAGCCAGCCAGCCAGCCAGCAACCAGCCAACAAATCAAGCAACCAACCAACTCACCAATCCAACAAAATAAGCAACCAAACAAATGACAAACCACTAAAACAACTACTAACCAACAAATAAAGCAGCCAACCAACTGACCAACCAACAAAGAAGTTTCGCAACCAACTAACCAACCAACCAACAAAACAATCAACCAACAAACAAATGAAGCAGCCAATCAACTGACCAACCAACCAAACTCCTTTCAGCCACCCGCCAAAGGGGTGTGTGGTCTTCCACATTTGGGACCCAACCCCAACTGTAAACACTCAAGATTGGAGCCTCGCAAGAAGTGCGCCCCTTCCTTGTGCGAAAGAAACAGAAAGGGGCCCTCTCGCATTGATAATGGGAAGAACCCGTTGATTTCCCGCAAACGGGTGCTAACAGCCAAACCCTGCTCCTCGCATTGGCATTTCTCAACATGTGGGTTTATCTCAAAACAGAGCAACCCCCCCCCACCCCCAACAAAAAAAACACCATGGATTGGTGTCCTTGTGGTTCCCCTCAAAACCAGTCCAAAAGGGGTACCCTCAGAAAAAGGACACACCCCTTTGGGAAAACCTCCTCAAAGTGGGTTGAATCAAATCCCGAACGATCCAGAAGGGGGGAGGCTAATTGGGGATCGAAGTTCTTGCCTTTGCCACCAGAATTTTTATCGGCAGGAGCTGTCGGGTCGCGGTACGCTGCGGTGGGGGATCAATGAGCCATACCCGGCTCAGAAAAGACTTCTGCGCAAAAGAACTCCTCGTACATGGATTTGAAACTGCACTGCTGTCCTTGCAGCACTTTTCGGTGGATCCACGGCTCGGCATCACAAACATCAGACAAGGGACTGGAACGAGGTTGTCTGCAAGTTTTGCAATGGTTTCAAAGCCGTAAATTGCATTGGATCTCCAAGGCAAAGACGTACCTCATGGTATGGTGTTCGCTCGTTTCCCCTCTGGTGAGATCGAAACCCAGAAATATATGCAGCTTGTTCAACAGGAGAAAGACCCCTGGCCTGACCTTCCTCTTTCCTTAAATTATTCAAGGACAAATCCCAAAACAACTGCGAGAACGCAAGGGCAGGCAGCTAATTTAGAGGCTGGCTGCCGTCTTTTTTGCAGTTTCTGTTTGGATGTGGCCGGTATCCTTTCAGGACCCCCTTGCCTCCACGGGTTTCCCATCCACTGCGAGGACCCGGTGAAGCCGCTGAACGCACTGTGCAGTGCCCCCCTCCGCAACCGCCGCCTGAAGACTTGGAGAAAAGACCCGTGTTTCAGGATCCCTTAGATATCTTAGATGGATCTTGGGCCAGCTGAGAACTCACCCAAATGATTCTACAGGTGATTTAGAGGAGCTCCTAAGCAGGTGGCGTTCGCATGTATCCCTTGGGGGACACTGCTATTTTAAGGGCATTTCCAGGCATGCTGTTTTGGAGAAACTATGGATGCACGCAGTATGTGCCGCTTGTGTTCAGTGATAATTGCGCATGACCAATTTAAATTTAAACGTATCTCCATTGCGGTACCGACTCCAACAACAGCTTGCTTCCCCAGTGGATTGATCAGGAAAAACCTGAACTTCATGTTTACCACTAACATGATCTTCCCCAACAGCTCAAGCGCAGGAACTCAGAGAGTGCGAACACTGATCAAGGCATATGATTGAAAAAGAAGAAGAACTCAACACAACGGTTACGTGCTTACCCACTTTACAAACACTAGTAGACAACACATACACCTGTATGTTGCTTGCATGCCTACACACCAACTCTTGCAATCTATTTTAAACCAATACATAAATGTCAGTGCGGATTTCTGCATCTAATATATATATATATATATATACATATGTGATTTCTGCACTCATGCATAAATACATGCAACATATGCTTCGCGTTAAAGCTATGCGTGAGTTGAAGCCCCACAGGTCCGGAGAAAGGTTGGCCTTGAAGGCCGCTGAGTTCCAGCGCTGCGCCGGGCCCAGGTCCTGCACCCCGCCTGAGCCCCGGGACTTCTGGGAAAAACATAGCTTCGCGCCTCCAAAGGCGACGGAACACTTACAATCGAAATCAAATAGATCGCCAAGGGCCAAACAAACAAGTTGGGGGACTGAAATCAGGTTGCCTAGCTTCCAAATCGCGGAATTGAAGCTCCAAATCTAGCCAAATCTTGCCTAATGTCTGCCAAGTTGCTGACCAAAAGCATACCAGGGTCGCAAATATCAAAGTCTAGCCCCAGTGGCTCTCCTAAAGAAACTTGGAACTTTGCCAAATACACGTCAGCAGCTGGCTCGGCATCTATGATGTCATCCGATTGGTCATCTGCTGACGGTGAAGCTGTGGGATCGTCTGGAGGTACCTTAGACGTGCCCTCTGCCAAGCATGTACCTCCCGTCCGTTCCAATGCGGCTTGCTTTTCTTGCAGAAGCATGACCTCTGAATTGGAATGATGAATCAGCGTCTTCTTCAAGAGTAATGGTCAGACATAGCCGACGAGATGACAAACCCTCCCATCTCCTGGGAGTATGATGTTCACAAAGGACCTAAGCAACGAACAACCAGGAAATCCATGGACCAAAGCTGGAAGTCCAAAGAGACCCAAGGGTACAATTCCTTTTCGATTAATGACTACGAACTGTCAAGTCAAAATCTGGACCAGCCGCAATGGGGTCCTCCACATCCAGCATGGGAAAGTACAGCGGCTTGGACTCGTCTTTTCCTGAGTGGCTTTGCATCGAAAGAACTTAGAAACAAAACAAAACACAAGTGACACGTCAAATATGCAAGCGCGGTATGCTAGTCAAAGAGGCGATGATGCTTGCAGCCGCGAGGAAAATTAACACAAACAAACAAACAAACAAACAAACAAAACAAGCAAGCAAGCAAGCAAGCAAGCAAACAAAACAAAACAAAACAACAAGAAACAAACAAACAAACAAACAAACAAACAAACAAACAAACAAACAAACAAACAAACAAACAAACAAACAAACAAACAAACAAAACACACAAAACACAAACAAACAAACAAACAAACAAACAAACAAACAAGCAAACAAGCAAACAAGCAAACAAGCAAACAAGCAAACAAGCAAGCATACACACAAATAACCAAACAAAACACAAAACAAGCAAACAAGTAAACAAGCAAACAAGCAAACAAGCAAGCATACACACAAATAACCAAACAAAACACAACACAAGCAAACAAGCGCACAATCAAGCAAGCAAGCAAGCAAGCAAGCAAGCAAGCAAGCAAGCAAGCAAGCAAGCAAGCAAGCAAGCAAGCAAGCAAGCAAGCAAGCAAGCAAGCTAACAAACAAACAAACAAACAAACAAACAAACAAACAAACAAACAAACAAACAAAACAAAACCACACAAACAAACAAACAAACAAACAAACATTAACAATAAATGTCCACAACCAAAACACATCGGCCAAGAATAATTAAGGCAGACACTTTCATCCTCCGAAGCGCCGAGGAATCGCTTGGCAGAGACCACTTCCTTAAAGGGTTTGCTAAACCCGACTCTAATCATCCAAGTCTGAAGTTCGGACTCACTTATCCAACTGACCTCTTTTTTTCGCAATAGCGGCCAACAAAAACTAGGATTACGACCAAAAAGGCGGCCACATGCGGTTTTTAGTAGTTGCCCCCGCGGCTGGATCCAACGTGAGACTTCACTCCCGCCAGGCAGCTGGCGCCAGCTCGTCCTGATTCGTGATGCAGTTGCAAATCCACATGGCGGTCAAAGGGGATCGAAGCAGCGTGCGGGTCTGGGACTTGAGCTGTGAAACGCAGATCCGTCCTCAAATACTTCCCATTGATCCAGACTGCTGTCGTGTCACGTGCATGCAGATCATGCAGGCCTTTTGCCGGGGCATAACCGGTTGCGAACATGCACTTGTACATACCCAAGGATATATGTGACATGGGTATTGATATGTGTTCCAGTGCTTGCTTCATGTCACTCGCCTTTGCAAACTCCATCATGTACTCTCGCTGCACCCTGTGAGCTGAGCCGCAACTTGACGCCCGCGTCAGGAAATCTCCGCGCACCCGCTATCCAACAATCATGGAAGTAAGTAGACAAGAGGGTTGTTAAAAACCTACCATCCTCCCAAGACCCCTTGTCTACTTCCATGATTGATCACAGGGTACTTGGTCCCTTTTATGGTAAGCTCCTGCAAACCATCAAGCAAACGGGCTACCTGCAAGCCCAAAAGCTCTTTTTCTGTACATTCTACCCAAATGCGCGAAAGCGCCCCGTTTGAATCAGCCGCTGTTTGTAGTCTCTCTGGTTGGCATCTCCTTCAAAGCTCGTAGCTATCCGGCGTTCTTTATCCTTACAGAAGGCCGCATCTGTTCAAACTACAAGCCCCCACTATTCATCGCATTCGGAGGAGCAGGGGGAACGAATGCTTCAAAGGTCTATGAAATTGGCTCAATCTATCCTGTTGACCTTGGAATGACTGGAAGACCCAGCCCAAACGTGGCAGAACTCCACAACTGGTTGGCTCCTTTTTGAAATAGTCAAAGGCGGAGGTTGACTCGGGGTGATCTGTTGACGGCCTGAGTCTTGAATCTAAACAGTCGAACGAAGTCGTCTCAAAAGCGTGAGCCTGTGGGCGCAGTTCGCAAAAGGTCGCATTCAACAATTCAACGACTGCCCGTTTCAAGAGGCGACCCTTTGACGAACAAACAATTTCGTCCAATTGCCAAGCCTAAGTGCCATTGAGGTACGGACCTTGGCGGGGACCCTCAAACAATCATCCTTCACATGCAGAGTTCTGCCCGACAGGCATTGAGGGCGTCCGGTGTCGATATGCTTTGTTTGGTGGTTGTCACTCTCACTTGTTGGGTCCATCTCGAGGGAGTTTCCGTTTGGTGATGTTTGAAGAGGAAATCTAGGGAACCCATAGGAACTTTGGATGCAACGCCATTGGGCTGCCCGGCTCGGCCCAGCTCCGTGGCACTCCCATGACCAGGTTGTCGATGCTGCCTTGAACGGATATGTCAGGTCACAAATCGGTGAGCCAAACGAATCTGAGGCTCGGGCCATCCGGTTTTTGATAAAAAGGGTCCTGGCATCTGCGGCTCAAGCCGACCAGCATTACTAAAACAACAACACACCAAACAACAAAAACAAGCAACAAACCAATGCAACCAACAAACCAGAACACCGCTGAAACGAGCTCAAATAAGAAAGCCCGCCAACACAGACTTGACGTTTGTCAATTCAACTGGGCAAATTCGGTCTGAGCACTGTTTGTCGAAACCAGTCATGTATCTCCCAACGGCATGAGTATGATGCCGGCAGCTGATTCAACATGGCAGGCAAAAAGAGGATCGGCCGGTTTCCATGCACACTCCAAACAAAGCCGGAGCCTACACGAAATCAACAGGGTCGGGTTTACTTTTTGAATGCTCAACTCAAGGATGCACATCTTTGCTAGCATCATCCTTCTAGTCAAGGGCAAACATGTAGGAGGCTAACAAGCCTTAGCCCAGTTGAGTGTCTTGAAGGCAATCAGCTTCCCTCGGACCGGACACTTGGATTTGGAACCAGGGCTTGGTGGCTTGGGCCGGCGCACCTTCCCCACAGCCACTCCAAGCCACCGAAGGGTAACCTGAAACGAGGCAATGAGACACACCGAGGTTTGGGTGCTGTAGATCCCCCAGCAAAAAGTGTAACTTTTTGCTGGTCAAAAGGAAATACGAGGGGAATCCAAAAAGTTAAAGTCTAAAGATCCAACCCAATAGCAGTCGAGGGGTGTCTACGGCTCCTTGATGTTCCCCGGAGACTCCCGCAGCATCAGCGTCACGTAGAGGCTCGCCGCCAGCCGCTCCTCGTAGACGTTTAGGTTCAGCCGGAAGACCGCGTTCCTGACCGCTCAACGCGGGGACGCACGGCTTGCCTGGGTTCCCCGTACTTCTAGCCTGTAAACATCACCCACAGGGGACTCGCTTTAAAATGGCGCTGCAAGGTAAAGGATCAAAGTCCCCGAAGGGGAAATATAGGGAACCTTGTCCTGATTGGGAGTCAAGGGCGTGAGCAAGGCTTGCAAAACACGTTGGAAGCTGTTCTTAGCTCACTGCTTGAATCCTTCAGAAAGGCAGCCTTACCACTCGCGAGGTCGCTACACGTTGGGCTGTGTCGAACCGTTACGCGTGTGCCATGGTGCGGCCAATCAGCGTGCTGTTTGGCGCAGACTTGGGCAGGCAGGGTTTTGCTTGTATAGATTGCCTGAGTGGTGAAGCGTGCTTCCTTCACCAGGCTTGAACAGCCCCTTGCGCGCGATCTAAGTTCCATACCAGCACCTTGACCAACAAGTCCTGCAAGTGTTTTGAGCATGTCGACAAACTAGTGCTTGCAATCGTCATGCCCTGAGACTCGAGGACTTTCAGGGGTTTTGTGTGTGGAGGTTACATAAAACTATAAACTACAAACTGACGACGAGCTTATATCAGTTGTATCAGCATCCATGTTCAAATGCCACACTTGAAAAGTCCCTTTGAGCATCACCAAGGAGAACTCGCTTTGAATCGGCCCAAACCGTGTCATTTAAAACCACCGCTGAAGATTTGTTTGGTTGGGGGGAGCCCAGTCGAGATACAACTTAATTAAAGTGACGTGCAACTTCTGCCAAGCAGCTCTGGCTGGATGAAGGGGAAAAAGCTCACATAGCCCAGCCGCCCCTGCGAGGCAACTCGTGGGCCAACCGTCCAAGCCCAAAGAGCAAACCAACCCCAAAGCAAGAACATCGACCAATACATGAGCACATGGCAGCGACCGCACCCCGCTAGGCTTCCCAAGACCAATGCGCACACCCTTGACAACAGGAACACACCCTGATCTCAAGGCCTGTCTGGGCAAATGGTCTGTGCTTGCCCTGCCGTCGTGCCGTTTCCTTTTCTAGTGTTTTTGCTGTTTTTGCTGTTCCTCTTCTCTCCTGTTTCCTTATTCTTTCCTCTTTTCTTTCCTTGTAAGGTGCAGGTAGGGACTGAGGTGCGGTCTGAAGGGGCGAGTGCGCCTTTTCTTTCGTTCGTTTCCCGCCTTTCTTTGCAGGCTCCACTACCGACATGAGTCGTCAATGACCTCATGCCCGGACGTCTCCCGTCCTGAAGACGCACGATGTCCTCCTGCTTCTCAAAGCGCACTCTGAAGACCTTGGCGTTGTACTTGTCCACCAGCCTCTCAGGGCAGCGGGACTTGTTTTGAGGAAGGGGCTGCCGGAGCCATTGCCATTTGGCTGGGCCCTGCAAAGTTGGTAAGGGGATGTAAAGCGATTTGCGACGCAACGACAGCAAACCAACGTGAAATTCGTGAAACCTTTGGGGAACCTGGTTGTACGGGGCAGCAGGGACGACGATGTGAATTGAGGAGACGCGGAACTCAGAAATTGGTTCGGTGACAAAGCAATGCATGGTCGACTTGCCTCGGCCAAAAGAAGACCAGGGCTTCCTCCCGATCTGCGTCGCTCCGGAAAAAGCCCACCATCTGCCGAATGTGAAGGGAGCCTGGGTACGCGAGCGCGATGCAAGAAAACAACGGGCGACTCTTGCAAATGTGTAAGAAGTACCAAACACATGCAAGGCGAATTTCTGCCTTGCGTGCCCAAAGGCGTTTCATCCAACACAATGGAGTCCACACTTCCTAGGGCCCAAATACTCACAAGTTGCAGTAACCTTTGAGGTTGCTATGGCTGTGGCTAAAACAGGTTGAAACCTAAAGAAATTTGAATGTGCTTGCTTCGCTTACCTTTGATAATCCTTTACGGGGATGCAGATAGTGCCATCTACTTTCACCTCAGTCCGGCAGTGAAATCAGGTGGCTGAGAAAGATCTGGTGCGAGATGGTCTTCAGCACTTTCAGGCGATCCGCGGGGGCGCATGGGGAGTCGTACATCGCCATCATCAGGGACTCAGCGCATGGTCCAATCGATGGATACCGGGGGCTGGAACACTCGAGCCGTTCAATGGAACGGTGAGACAAGGCCTGGCTTAAGCCTTACAGGGGAGGGTGGGGCTCCCGTTCCAGTCTAGTTGGCATGAGGGAAGAAGGCAAAGGCCCCGCAGGGATGCGTTTGAAATCTCAGGGGCTCTAAGAACCGGTCCCTGAGGGTTAGCCAGAGTAACAGAAGGTATTGGGTTGTTCCCACTAGGTGAAGTGGAGCCTCCAGGCTGGAGCAACGGCCCACATACTGTGGCGTTGCTATGTGGGCCGTTGCTATCAGATTTGGTCCTGGACAAAAACAAACACGGACGGAGCCACGACATTGAAGACATGTCAAAACAAGTCAACACCGTTCAGTTTTGGTCAAGCGCACCTTCAGCATCGTGAATCCCAAATTTCAAAAACCTATGGGCCCATGGGCCAACCTCGCGCTCGACTCTGGGCTCCAGACCTCCCAAAGCTCGTCGCTCAAAGGCTTCGAGCCTTGCTTGGGGTGGGTGCCTCAGCACTGAAGATGCCAGGGGAGCGGACTGAAAGCTCCGTAAACATCCGGAAGTTCAGTGCGTCCCACAAGTGTGCCCAAGGCTGATGTAGAAACTACTGACCACGTCAAGCGAGTTTTCCGAAACCAAAAGAGCAACGACATCTTTTGATGTGAGCCCACAATGACCTTCTTAGCTCAACCACCCCAAACAAATGCAATGGATCTGCAAACTCTACTATTAAGAGTTCCAACACCTGAACAAAATGGCATTGGATCCCCGAGTTGGAGAGCCCGCATCACGGTGAACTTGTTTTACCAAAGCTCATCATAAAGTAGGCAGAATAGATGCAAACCACAACTTTAGCCCATCGTCCCTACCACGTTCATCCCTGAATTCGCTCAAGGATAAAGCCAACTAGGGCCCGAACATGGGCCTGACTGGGCTGGGAAGGGATCCGTGAGGTCTCAAAAGCAAGCGCGGCTCACTTGAGCGGATTGCCAGAGACCAAAAACAAACTTGTGAATTACCACTAGGATGGTCGTCCCCAAAACTTGTCAAGTCCTGAAACTTAAGGAGTGACACAAGTCCGGAACCTCACACTTGGCTGTATCGAAGAATCAAGCCTTCAGGCGGCTGCTCCCTGCTCCTTCCAACCACAGGGCGATGATTGATGCCTAGGACCTGGAGCTGTTGGGGGCCTAACGGCTCTTTTATGCCTTTAGAAACTTGACGGCAACAAACAGACCTGTGTATCAGCATATCTCTTGGATCTGGCGCCTTCGCGCAAGCGACTTTCGCTGCCCGCCCTCCCCCCTTGCACAAGGCGACTGGTGACGTAGTCGCACTCGAACTCCCCAAATTCTGGCATCACCCACTCAGTGAGTAGCTTCACCTTTGCATGGCAAGCGCTCCCAGCAAAACATGTCGAAAATGGTAGACAATTGCAGTGAGTGCCATGCAAGTGACAGGCTGAGGGTTGCCCATCTTGTACTGCTGTTCAATGATGTCTGCACATGTTAGCCGTGGACCGGCACAGTGCTTCAAAGGATGCGAAAAACATGATGGCCGCTTGGGTCAACCTTAAATAAGAAAACTCTCATCACGCCTCGCGCCGCCCAAACTCAACATTGGCTCTTCCAAGGTAAACACGCCCAAGCGCGCATTCAGGAACAACATCTTGGTGGTTGTGACAGGCCAGCCCTGCGAGCGCTTTCCTCAGAGTTCTGTCAGGGTTGACACACACCCCGATTTGTGGGTTTCTGGGCTGTGAACGGCCCCACTTAATTGTGATCCTAACATATTCTGCCTGACGCCGAGTGGCTGAAAGGTGCAAGCTCCGGCCCATGTAGCACTCATTGCGCATCTGCGACTGGTTCCCACGTTGAGACACCTAGGCCAGGAAGCTGGCCACTGCGTCAAGTCAAGCAGCCCGTAGGTTTACCATGGCGTCCACCAGCGCTCCCCATATGTCCCCCTTAAGCATACACCAGCGCCCCCTTAAGCATGGCCACCAGTACTGAGACGACATGGCCATAAACGGACCAGTAGACTCAGTAGCCCAAAAGATCCAGGGCACTTGCAAGACTCTCACCTTGAACCTGTCATGAGTTTCCGCCAGCAGGTTGGCCAAGGACTGTTCCCCTACATCAGTACCCTGCGAGCAAATATCAACATGCGCCCAGCTAGGTGGCAAAAGCAATCAAACTATTTTACTCTTCTGACCCTCGTACCAGATCGGCTTCACGCTGATGCCCACAATTGGCCGAGGGGTGAAAAAGCTTGTTGTGACACTGCATCATTGCAAACAAAGTTCTTAGCTGCCCCGGAGTCATGGGAAAGTAAGTCGCTTCTGCATTGGCCCTTCCAGTCCGGAACCAGCTGGGACACAGCAAGCTGCCACTGCAAACTGTGCTAAATTGATTCCTACAACAAAATGAACTGCTGTCACAAGCAAACAACAATTGGACTGACAACCAAACAGAAGCACAACAACGGGCCCAGCGCGCCGAGTAAATCCAATATAGACCGCGACAAAAGAAGCCACCGTGCGAAGCGACAGGTAAAGCACAAGATTAATGATTAATGAGCTGCTTTATAATTGGAAAGGATCACGCTCAAATCAAGGAGCAAGGCCTAAGGTATCTTGGAATCGTTGGCATCTTGCCACTGGTTGCCATCATTTTTTATTGCCATCATGTTTACATGAATGGCCTTCTCTTTGAGAAAACTGTGGCCACAGATTCTGAGCCCAGTGGCCCTGGCAACAAAGGGGCACCCGTCTTAAATCCGGCTGATGCTCAAGGGAAACCTGCCGCGGCACATCGTGGCGGCCGCGACGCTTGTTCACCACCGACTCCCAGCCTTGTACGAAGCAACCGGAAGACGTCGCCAAAAAAGCACAAAAGACATGATGATTTCCTGAAATTGGGCCTCTTTGACATGAGTTTGCGGGTTCTCATGTTGTGTTCGTGGTGGCAAAACAACCAGTTGGAGCGTAATTGAGAGCGTCGCTTCAATGGACCCCCAAAAAAATGATGGCCCCTTTTCAACAGGTCAATTTGGAAAGTATCGCTAAACGACCCGAAAGGACCAACTAACAACACATTAGTTGCCTTTGTCAACTGGCTGTTGCTGTCTGCGTGTGAGCTTGTAATACATGATCAAACAGGCCTGTCATAAGACACCTGTCGAGTGTTGCAAGCTGCGATCCCCAGCCATCTTTCCTTCATGTGACTTCATGTGCATGTTGCACTCTACTTTCGTTCCGTTCCTGACGCAAAATACACATCCCTCTTTCTGAGTGACCCTCAAAACAACAACGAAAAATACAGAAACAAACAAAGAAGGATACAACAAACACAGAAAGACAGACAGACAGACAGACAGACAGACAGACAGACAGACAGACAGACAGACAGACAGACAGACAGACAGACAGATAGATAGACAGACAGACAGACAGACAGACAGACAGAGACAGACAGACAGACAGAGACAGACAGACAAACAGACAGACAGACAGACAGACAGACAAAACATCAAACAAACAAAATAAGAAACAACAACAGAACAAACACACACACACAACCAAAAAAGAACACATAAGCAAACAAGCAAGCAAGCAAGCAAACAAACAAACAAACAAACAAACAAGAAAGCACACACACACATACAATCAATCACCTTGTATCAACACACACACCACAAAAAAAAAAAAAAAAAAAAAAAAAACTCCCAAGTGTCAAGCTCTCCACGTACCGACTTACCAAGCCGCGGTCGAGGAGTAAGAGCTGTTGTGCCACCGCAAAGTCTGTGGAATTCTCAAGCTTCAGCTTGTAGTGGCCCGTAGGGTTCTGGGGGTTGAAAAGCATGAAGGCCTCCTTGGAATGAAAAATGTGTGTGCCACGTGTGTGTGTGTGTGTGTTCTTGGCACTGCCCTTCTCGGGGTAGTTCCAAGCGGAACCAAAACGGCACGACCATGTTGGTGAAGTCCCCTACAATGCACACACCTGTTAGGTCAAGTTTAAAAGGCTCAACTAGGTGTCCCACTGTTTAACAAACTGGTAACCAGGAGTTCCGCCTTCTGATTGGAGGTTATGGCTCCTGAAGGGCCGTTTGCAATAACCCAGCCCAGTGGCCCCTAGCAGACATCGAATTGGCACCCATCTTGGATTGAGTGGGGAGCACACCAAAGAACACATTGCAAAGGGGTGGAAAGCAGCAAACTGTTGTGCAAACGGATACCTATAACCCCTTTGATGGCCGATTTCCCATCATTGTGTCAAATGAGTGGGCCTGGTTGCTCTTGGTTTAGGGTGGTGAGGTCAGTACTCCATTTCCTATTGAAAACCAGCATGACTTCCCCTGGTTCACCAAGTCTAGCAAGTGGCCTGTAATCATACAAGCATGATGACTTGTTACATCGCCATGACCCCAAAGCAAGCCCAATGCCGGCCTTGCTCTTGGCGCATAAGTGTGATTTTCTGTGTTGCTGTGATGATGTCATCGTTTGCCATGGCCTGCTCGATTCCTGTGTGTGTGTGTGTGCGCTGTGGACCTGCTTCATGCTGCATTGTAAAGCGGAGTTAGTTTACGCTTTGGCACTCATGAACATTGACATGGGCCCCGGCCCATGAGACTTTGTGGTTGCCACTAAAATTGTCCTGCCAACTACCCAACTAGGCAAGGAGAGTCGTAGGTCACGAGATTGGCTTGTCGCATGTGTGATCCGGTTTGAGTTTCTTGGCGTGGCCGTGGATTGTCAGTTCTTGATCCTTGGTTGGTGTGGACCGTTAGCCTGTTGTTTGATTCCCGTGTCTTCAGTGTTCTTCCAATGTAATGCGTTTGCATTTTTCCAGGTGTGCTTGCTGTGTTCGCGGCCGTTCTCTGTTTGGTTTCAATACGGGCCCCATGGCCCGATTGATCCCAAACCGGTGGTCATTCAACCAATACCAGGCACCCAGGCAATTGAGCTGCGGGCTTGACTTTACAAGGCACATCTTGCGTACGGGCTGATAGCAGCAAAGCTGGGAAGAAAACAAACAACTTGCATGGTGGCAAATGCGATATTCCGGCTGGGCAGAACAATGCTTCAAAATTCAATGCTATAGACTAAGCAACAAGCAACAACACAATTCTGGATTACCAGTACCATACTTTGTGGGACGCTGCGTCATCTCTAGTCCAGCTTGTCTGCTGGGTGCCCCTAGGCCCTTCCCGTTGAAGCCGATGACAGCAGCTACCCAGTCAAGTCTCCATCTCCCGCATTGCGAGCAACAAGTCTTCCATTTTCCGGAACAGCGCAGTGGCTGCGAAGAGGGAGATACCGTCTCTTCTCAGGCTGGGGATCAAGCCTCGGCTGACTGAAGCTTTGCGGGTGGCAACTGTTAAACTGCACCCAAAGTGTGATTGCCTGATGGCATGTAATTTGCTGAGTTTCATTGCCAAACCCTCCTACAAGAAATCCCCATGGAGCTCGTATTACCCCGCAGGTGAGCTCGACATGTCCGCAGCATGACGGCTGTCTTCTGTGGACGGACAAATCCTGCCCCAATTGGGATGAGCGGAGTGGATCTTGTCCATCCACAGCTCACTTCTGAGGATCAGGTTTAGCTGAGTTGCGGAAGATGGTCTGGTTGCTGGCTTCCGGGCACGCCTGAAGCCAAGAAGACAATGTCTCATCCTCATTTCCAGGGTTCCTGAAAGAACTCAGTCGCATTAGCCCATACGCGATCGAGTCGGCCTGCCCTCTAAAGCAAGTTCTATCGCTGCAAACAGGCTGACCACACCCAGCGCAAATCCCCGGGCCCTTCAGACAAGATCACCCAACGGAGAATATGGTTCGGAAACACCCATATCGGGTGAGGGGTAGCCCTTGGTAGCTCAACACATGATCTCCGTAGACAAGTGCAATTGACAACAGGTCCCAACAAGTGTTGTTTCCAGGACTTCCAGTGCCCGGAGTGTAGCATTTTGGGAACAAGACAAAGCAGGGCGGCACCATGCCCCCGCAGGCTTTGACCGGACCTTTGCTAGTCGGTGGAGTTGGTTGTCTTGTGCCTTGACAAAAGCCATGCAAACATCTGCTTGTGGCTCTCCCCAGGCTCATGGGCCCTGAGTCTGGGCATAAGCATGAGCCAACCCCTTGCTGTCATCAAAGAAAGCACTTGTGGGCTATTCCCTTCGCAGGGTTCCTTAAACGGTACATGCAGAAACCACATGGTTTACTAGGGGGTATCAGCTAGAAAAGATGATGTTCAAGCAGCCCAAAGGAGACCGTAAAGAGACCCTGTTGAGCGCCCGTGCGACAAGCTCAATTGGAGACCGCACCCTCACCATGTACTCCAGATACGGCAGGATCATGTTGAAGTCCGAAGCCAACGCGCTCAAAAACGTCTCCTCAGCTTGACCCTAATCTTCTGAGCGGGAGTCGGCCCAAGCAAGTCCAGCGCTATTTCCAACCGAGCCATCTTTCCCACATGGAGAACAGAGTGTGACCAAGTATATGCGTATGAGCAAGAAAAACCGAAAGTGGCGGCCCCAAATGAAAGCCGGCAAAGCAAATGGGGAGACTCCGCCAGCGGATTTTCCAAGTTTGAACCTTGAGGGAAGTGTCCCGCGGAAACTTGAGCCCCGGTTTCGATTGAGCAAAAAGACAAACATTTCCCAGTTTTGAAACCAATTTGAAGCGCTCTCAGCCCCAGCTTCCAAGCCACCAGCCCAACACATGATTGAAGAGGTTCCTTTGCATTCAACGACAAATGGATGGTGCTTGCCCTATTCTTCGTCGCAGTCACATGGGACAAGTCTCTTGCTCCAGGTGCATCCCGCTGATGGCCTTCCAGTTGGCCAACAAGGGCCGCATCTTGATGCGGTGGGGGGTGAAGCGCATCATCTCAAGGTGGCTGTTCAGGAAGTGCACGAAGTCATCGTCCGCGATTTCCTGAAAACGTCAAGTGGGTATATTAGGCGGATCAGGATTTGGACCCCAAACTTGCAGGCGTCCTTGTGAGTTCCCTTTAGAACAACCATTGAAATCCTTTCAAAGGGTACCCACAAACAACACACACACACACCCAACCCATACAGTTAGCATCATTTGGAGATGTCTGAACAAATGGGTGCGACACAATGTGTTGCACAATTGGGAATGCGCTGACTTTGACTGATTAAGCAACTACATCAGAACATGGAGGCAAAAGCAAGCAAGCAAAGAAGCAACGCAACACAAGCCAGGGGCTCAAGAAACAAGGAGAGAAACTGCTGCCAGAAAGGTCCCACTCCCAACAAGGTTCTATTATGTTCTAATCAAGCAACCCTGAACGACACCGAATAACCACAAAACCCTACAACAAGAGGAGAGTGAAACCGCGCCCATCATGGTGATTTCAACATGAAGCCTCCTAAAGCCTCGACGAGGCGTTGGCAAGTGAGTTATTGGAGACTACTCTCCTTTGCTTTGGTTGAAAAGACATGCATGCCACGTCTGATTGCCTCCCCGCGAACGCACAAAGCTTCGCTTAACCCCTTCTGCTGCAGCGTCAGACCACTTCGCTGCAATGGCCGACTCCACGTTGAACGTGAAAGTGAGGATGCCGTCCCGTCGCACCTGCAGGATGCAAAGATTGTCCTGTCCCTGCAAGCCCGTCACAATTCGGCGCAGATTGCCACAATGACTTCTCTAAATATCTGTTAGGACCCAAAGCTCGTGTCATTGCGTCGCTGTTGGGGCCTTGTGCTTCTGCGTGCAAGCGTGTCAGCTTTGCAGGCCGCGGGCCGTGTTGGTGAGTGTTCTAAAAGGGAAACCTCATCCAGCAAAAACAACAAGAATAACATGAGCACCACTGCTCGGCTGGGCGTAAGACAAACTGCCTGCCTTGTACTGGCCGATGCTGTCTCCTAGCGCAGCGCTTGTTCGCAGCCTGTGACTCCTATTTCGACCTGGGCCATCCCTTCCAACGTTATGTCACTTCAAAGGGAATCCTCTTGAAATCACAGTTGGATTGCCCAAATCACTTGTTCGCCCCATTGCGGTGCATGGCAAGGGTGTCTGGAACATGTCTGCACTCACTTTTTCTTGAGGGATGAAAGCACCCGATGCAAAACTTGATTTCTTCAAGCAGCAAGTTAGAGTACACACTATACCCTGACACTGCACCAGAAACAAATCCCGCATGTTTTTTCTTTCTGGAGGATTGCACCCTGGGAACAATTGAAGAGATAGATAGAGACCCTCAGCAATAATGATTTCCTGGGAAATGCTATCATTCTAAGTTCCAGTGAGGGAACGCCATTCCAGGAAACCCCACATTTCCCCTTCAAACATCACCCGAAATGCAGGGACTCACTCAAATTGGCCCAAAATGTGTTGCTTAAAATCACCGGTGGGAAATATAGAGGGAGCTCTGCATTTCAAATTTTGCCAGGTCACGGATGGGATGTTGGTACGGGGGCTTGCTGTAGTGAATGTTCACAAAGGCCTTGGAATGGTCTAGCTCGAAGCGCTCCGCCGTCTCGTACAGCATCCTGAATTGTGGGAGCAAGCCAAAGGAGGGGCGTGCCCAGGAAAGGTTCCAAGAAGCTTCTAAAAAAGAATCGTATGGAACTTTTCCAAAAATTACATGAAAACTCTTCCGGTGGTGCTGGGCACCCCCTCTCCAGGATCAAAGATAGCGATTGAACAGCCTACTTGAAGCCAAGCCCCCCTCGATCAGCGCAGAAACCCTGAAAGGGATGAAAGGGGACCCCTCGATTGCCAACTAACATCAACTAACCATAGCGTGAAAAGCGTGGGCAGTTGAGAATGGAGGGCCAGTCAACCCCTAGCAACATCTGCACAGCTTGCAGACCAGCACCGCGACGCGATCAGTGCCAGTCCTGCAGAGGCTGCGGTCATAGGGAATGGTCAGGTCCAGCACATACTTGCCACCAGGATTGGTGAAGGAAAACACCTGTCGGGAAATCGGGTGCCTGCACCTGCTTTAGATCACTGAGCAACTGCTCACAAAAACGTGCGCGTCCGTATGCGCGTGCGTGTGCGTGTTGCTAAGGAATTCAACAGGCCCAACTGTGTGCTCAATAACTCCTATGCGTTTCGATGCGAATAAGAAACAGACCACAAGGGGATAGGTCATGTGTTGGTTCCTGTATTGGTTGTAATGATAGGCTATGTTCTCGCTTTTGCTTGCGATCCCCAGAAGTTAGTTTATGTTGCTTTCTTACTTTGGGGATCACCTTGCGAGACGGGCAACCTTGGAATGCTTTCAAGGCCTCCCAGATGTTCCCTAAACCCCCAGTGGCCATGAGGAACAAAATGGTAATCCCTTTTTTTGGCAGTTTACTTTCGAAGGGTTTCCCCCTCCCGAACAAGGCACAAGCGGAAGCAAGTCACTGGGTTTGTGAGGGGCGCTCTCCGAGCCTGTGAGGTCTCTGAGACCACCTCGTCCCCGGACTTACCTCCATGGCAGCCTCGGAAATCAGACTCACGCCTGCTCTGCGGAATCCCGGGAGGACAAATGGCACAATTCCAACTTGTCCAACCCATTGTTGTTTTTTTCTTTTTTGGTGTGATTTTAAGTTAAAGTCATTCCCCCCCCCCCTACCCCATATTCTTGAAGGGCATCCCCCTCAACTTTTTTGTAAAGCCACCCACCCCCCCCCCCCATACATGACTAAACGGAATTACGCCAGCTGCTTTCAACAGTGGAATCCTAATCTGTAACCCGTAGTTCGGCACCAAAATGAGAAAGCCCATCTGGCAAAAGGGTTGAGGGCTGATTTTGAACAACCCAGACTGGCGCATGAGGCGTTGCGATGCCACCTCCCTTTTATGTGTCAAACTGGTCGGTTGTGTATGGGCTGTTTGTTTTTCCTGGTGTAGATGGCTCGCACGCTCCTTGCTTTGTTTCTGCCTCTCTCCCCCTCTTTGCTTTGGCAAAGTACTGAATCAGTGGAGATCAAAAAGCCAAGTTCACAATGCTCAGTGTCACTAGCAGGCGAATGGTGTGCATGCCGGTATAACCCCGTTTCAACTCCCAGTATATAGCGAGGATTCCTCAATCACTTTTGTGGGAAACACCGCTCCGCCAGGTTGATGAATCCGGAGTCATGATGATTCCCGCCCGGCACACCATCCAAACAACTGCAACCCACATGACGTGGGAGAATCTTGGAGGACATTCGCTTGCGATGATATGCCGATTGGTCTGTCCTTAAGCCGCTTGGGGCGCAAACACAATAATTCACCCGGCACTTTGCATCGATTCTGAGGTCGTTTACCCACTACAAATAATAATGGCTTTGCTTTGCAAAGAATGCATATTTCGTGCTTGCTCTCCATATCTCGTGCTTGCTCACCCTCTAGGTTCAGTATATATATATATATATCAACGCCCTTCCGAATGACACAAGCACGCATTCACCATGCGACTGAGGCGCCCTCGATGTCCAACCTGGACAGACGTGACTGCTCCCGACATAGCAGCCGCAGAATGCTGCGCCTTAGGCGGCTGACAAGCTAAGCATAACTTGAAGGCTTGTAATCAAATCTAGGATTGCAAGTCGCAATGTCATCATGCAGACCTTACCTCGCCTTCACACCTACACGCCTGCCTTGCAACAAGGCCCTCGTTTCCCGGGTTTCTGGACAAGATGAAGGTAGATCCCCTACATGTCTCCAACATCAAACACCGGTTCGCCAACTTGCCAAGCCGCAAGCCCATGATACCCAAGGGGTTGTTCCGCAGGTAGAGCCGCGAAAGCCTTGGGTGACCTTCAAGAGAATCCTGGCAAATGCCGCATCGAAGAACAAAGTCCGCGTTGGCAGGGGTCGGAGTCTGTCTGTTGACGGTTGCCTTCCCAGTACCATTTCATGTGCCAATGCCATGAAATGGTAAGCACGCGCCTCGATCACCAAGGCAGCTCGCGAGTCAATGCGGTTGGTGCACACGCTCAAACTCCTGGAAAGGTGTCAGAAACATATTTCTCGCCCGGCGAAGAAGTGAGGAGCTTCTCAGCACCAGGACGCCTTTGGCAAAGCAACACGCTTTTCTATGCCGCCCGCCGAAGCAAGACACAAACAAAACAACAAACATAATCACAAAGCATGCCAAGAACGGTGAAGGGCAAGGGCAGGAGCCCCATTTCGAGTATGTGCGTCGGGCAATCCAGTGGACCAAGGGGGCGCCACTGAATCTTGGCCCACATCTGCGGTACACAGAAAACAATTTGTTCTGACTCACTCTGTTCCATGTTTTATTTACAGTAAAACACTAAAGCAAACTAGCCGTGGAGAACCCGGGAACGGGGCAATCATCCTCAAACAGCCCCGTCTCTGCCTGTCCTCGGGTTTTTTTGCGATGCGCAGAGCGCCTGTCCTCAGTGCCTTGTTGAAAGCCAGCTTCTCCACCAGCTCAGAGATGGGCGTGTCTTTCCGAACCTCCCGGTTCGATGGTGCAAAGCTAAGCCAAGCAACGGAAAGCGGATTCAGAGAACAAAACCAAACCGATTCAACCGAACAGGCAAAAACAAAGGGACTCACACAAGCCCACCAACCAACCAACCAACCATCCATCCATCCAGCCAGACAGCCAGCCAACCAACCAACCATCCAGCACAGCCAGCTAGCCAACCAACCAACCAACCATCCAGCCAGCCAGCCAGCCAACCAACCAGCCATCCAGCAAGCCCGCCAGCCAACCAACCATCCAGCCAGCCAGACAGCCAGCTAGCCAACCAACCAACCAACCAACGAACCAACCATCCAGCCAGCCAGCCAGCCAGCCAGCCAACCAACCAAGAGACTAACCAGCCAGACTAACCAGCCAGCCAGCCAACCAACCATCCAGCCAGCCAGCCAGCTAGCCAACCAACCAGCCAGCCAGCCAGCCAGCCAGCCAGCTAGCCAACCAACCAACCAGCCAACCAACCATCCAGGCAGCCAACCAACCATCCAGCTAGCCAACCAACCAACCAAGAGACTAACCAGCCAGCCAGCCAACCAAACAACCAACCTAACCACCAACCACCACCAACCAAATGTACCAACAACAAAGCAAGCAAGCTGGCAGGCAGGCAGGCAGGCAGGCAGGCAGGCAGCCAGGCAGGGAGACAGGCAGGCAAGCACCTCGCCCAGGCGCTTTCAACGTGGGGCGTATATGCACTGCCTACCCGCAAACACCACGACCCAAAGCTTCACGTGCATGGCTTCTTGGAAGGGCACCGTGTAGCCAGCGCAGTTGTCCAGCAGCAGATGTTCCAAGCTGAGGTTCGCGTCCACGTAATCGCCCATCACTTGGAACTCCTCTCCGAATGAGAAGTGACTTCTCGTAGAACCCAAGCCAAACCCCCACCCCCCACACTGTCCTCCACCCCATTTCCAAACAAAGAAAGGGGGGGTTGGGGGTGGGGATTTCATGAAACGGGGGATCTTTCTTGAATTGACAAGAACAGTGCCTCCCAGCCAAATCTTGCACATTGGTGCTTGCTTGTCCATCTGCACGGGTACCGTCGGCTACTCCGTCGGGCTTCGACCCCCCCATGCCAAGTCTAGGCCGGGTGGCTCTCGCGCATTTTAAGTTTTTCGGCCCCCCCCTTCTGAGGGCCGAAGAGGGACTTGCTCTTTGCGAGTCGGCTTTGAAACAACCTCAAAACGGAAGCGGGACTCTCTCCACGGCGTTTAAGCGGCGTTCGGCTTCACAGGCCCATGATCAGGACTAAATAAATGCTGGTTCGCTTCAAACGAAAACAGTAGTGTTGGAAAAGCTTGACCCAACCCTGCCGGTGGAGCCACATTCAGCCCATCACTCCTGGAGTTGCAGGGATATCAAAGCATCTTGAGATCTTCAGGGGTAATTCGGTGAGGGTGGTGGGGCTGGAACCGCCAAGCCACGAGTGCAATAAGAATGGGAGCCATGCATTTGGATAAAGTTTGACCAAAAAGATAACCCACCAGTTGTAGCGGGTCGCTTCCGTTGAGGAAGCTTCCAATCTCCCAGCAGCCAGGCACCCCGCATTGACGCGTCCTGCTTGTTGAAGACATTCCAGCTGAGGTCCAGCTTTTTGTTGGTCGCGCTTCCTTGGACAATGTTCCCCCTCCCCGGCGAGTGGCACGACCATAGGACCAAAGTACTTGCAACTTCCGCACCCTGCCCACCGCACACACACACATAGTTTGCGCCCAAAAACGAATCAAAGCCATAGCAAGGGAATTCATGAGATTCGCCCGCTATGGCTCTGTAAAAGCAATGTGCAATGCATGTATGCATTCATGTATGCGTGTATGTATGCATGTGTGCATATGTGTATGTGTGTATGCGCTTGCGTGTGTGTGTGTAGGTGTGTACGAGTGTGGGTGTGCGTATGCGTGTTTGTGTGTATGTCCACGTGCGTGCATGTATGTGTGAGTATTTTTGTATGTATATGCAATCCGCCCCGGTGTGTATACTTGGCTGCAGAAGTATGTATTGGAAACCTGGAGTATGGGGACAACACATATGAGTTTTGGCAAGACATGGAATCGAGATTCAATATTCAAGTCTCCCAGAAAGATTTGTCTCAGATTCTTGAATCTTGAGTCCCATAACTGCTCAAAAAAAACATTGTGTTCCCAATACTCAAAAAACATGCGGACTCTGTCAGGTGGCAGATATTGACATCATTGCTTACGTTACATATATAATGTATATACACATATGGCACCCGCCCAATTTTGACACAAAATCAACAAGGCAAAAAAAGAAAAGAAAAACACTGGCACAAAACACAGCTCAAGCTCACCAAACCAGGGTCCATGGGGTGGGGTACCGTAGGTATATACGTATATATATATATATCTATCCGTGCATGCATACGTATATGTATATCAACATATACATATGAATTTTCGCATGTCATATATGTGCGTGTATGTTGTATGTGTGCGTAGGTTTGTATGTATGTATGTGCGTATGTATGTATGCATGCATGCATGTATATATATACATGTATGTATGCATGTATGTATGTATGTACGTTTGTATGTAGGTGTATGTAGGCGTATGTAGGTGTATGTGTGTATGCATGCATGCATGTATGATGCATGAATGCCAGGCCGGCCTGCAAGCTTGAAAAAAGGACAAGCGCTAGGCCCCTGGCCGAACAAGTGCCGGAGGCACTTGCCGGTAAGGCAATGTCCACCAAGCCCCACCCGGGCCAAAGACATGAACCTCGACTCGGGGCCCCGAAGGAGGTGCCCCAATCCTCAGCCCAAACAAGCAGACTAACAAGCAACAAAATGGGTGTGGCCCCCCAAATGGTGGTGTTGCTTTAGGTTTCGCATTGCAAGCCAAAAGAAAGAGGCTACCTTCAAAACACGCCCATGTTCAATTTAAATCTTGAAACGGAACAAGGATATCGGAGGAGACCCCACAATCCTAGCCATCCCGGCAAACTGAAGCCCTCACTGCAAGTGAGACTTTTGTATAAAGCTGCAAACCTATCAGGAGTCTTTGTTTTTGGGAAAAACCCAGGAAGCCGACAAACCCACAATGGAGCCCCTCCACATGCCTTCTCGGTTTTTGTTCTTTGATTTTACACGGAAACAAGCTGTTGCAAAAAGCTCGCAAGTAGATTTGACAGCCAGTGCCACCCACAGCAATGAGTGCCTGCTGGAGTCACAAAACCTCGAAGCAAAATGACCGGCCGCCGGCAAAACCTGCAGATTGGCACAAAGGAGTTGGACTCACCTCAATTTCAAGAGACACGTTTTTGAGAAACGGAGTGATTTCGCCACAACTGCTTAGGAACACCCCTGCTAATCTAGAGCGCCATAAGCTCGCTTAAGGAAAACCATAAGTGCACAAGCACTCGCACAGACATACACAAGCATCGACCGACCACCACACAACGCTTAATGCAAAACTATGATGCACAAGTAAAGCAACAAAGGGTAGCACTGACTTTCGCCCTTGTCCATCTTAATGATTCCGGTCAAAGCAAACTGGCAGGCCTGTAGAACCATCTTGTGTGCAACCGGTAGCCATGGATGCATGGGTACACGCGAGTTCAGTACATGCTTTGGGAGTCAGGTACCTCGCAAGAAATGTTCACCAAAGGCCATGGGTTGCTTCGCTTACCCTGTAGCTCACGTTGCTGTCTGTAAGTTGTCATGGCTCCTTGCATGTGTTGTGCTCATGCTTTTCTCAACGATGGCTGATGGCCACCCCCATGAATCCCAAAGCATGAGCTGAGGTGCTGGTTCAATTCAGCCCAAGTCTCGCCATGTACTATTTTAGCTTACCTAGGCTTCCGGCTGGCATGCGGCTTGGAAAACGGGTGGCCACCGTCTTTGACATTCGACATCTAGAGCTTCCCGTTCACGATTGGCCACTTTTGGAATCCCAAAGCGAGAGTGTGAAATCGAACTCAAACAGCCAAAGCAATCAAACATTCCATGAACCGTTGCTTTGATTCTTTAGGTGTTGCTGTTTTTTGTCGGTCTTAGGCGCCAACGCGGCCGCATATATGCCACGACCTACCGGGCCATCTGGGGCCCGCGGCGTGAGGCTGGGGTGCGCTCCCAGTGTCTCGCAGAAACGCAGCTGCAGCTTCCTGGGAGGGATCCAGGTGTCAAGTGGGGGGTCTGCCATCCTTTTGGCTTGCTCTTGGGAACAGTTCATTCTTTTGGGGCCTTTGAGCACCAAACGACAATTGTCACAACAACCCCATCAACACCACTGCCAACAAACACACAGCAGGAAACACACAACCCACCGAGATTGCTCCAACAAGAGCAAGTGCACTCCGCACGAGAAAAATGGCTTGTGGTGCTCAGGCTTAAGTCTGATGGGAACAAACAAACCCTGGGGGGAGCCTTTCAAGATGTTCGAAAAACCTGGGCGCCTCTCTCTTGGAGCCTCTCGGCCCCCAACGACCCATGGCAGGTGCGAACTGATGGGTTGGCTGAGGGCCGCACATTCCCAGCTGAACGCCACTGACATTGATCTCCCTGCGGATGGAGCGGCATTGCCATGCGGGGCATGCATGCAAACAAGTGACTCGGTAGCCAACGGGCTGACAAACTGAGCTTGACGGGTATGCATATCTTTTCGCAGGTATTGCCCGCGGCCCCGTGAAGCTTGCGAACCAATCAGAATGAAAAGCCTGAACGTGCTTTTCAGAGCACGCATTCGGCTATTGTAACGGCGTACCGGCACCAATCGGCACCATTTTCAGCAAGTCAATGACCACTCCAGCCCAGACATGGCGATCGAGCCCCTTGCTACGCTCCCCAAACATGTACTACTTGCACCCGCGGAGGGTGCCGCTGAACAGTTATCAGGGAACAAAACCAGCAAAGGGCCTCTTGACCCTCACAGTTAAAGGGAGCCTTTCCTGGGCCAAACTCAGACCCCCACAAAACGTCGGCTTTTTGAAAGTTCAAAGAAAAAAAAAGCAAAAACAGAACCAACGCAAAAAAACCGAACACTAAATAACAAGTCACAAATTGGTCGGCCTTTGGCCTGGCCACGTCGGGGGTCGCGCCCCCAAGCGCGCCCAAACGCGACGTCGAGAGTGCGCGCTGCGCGCGCCTGAGGTGCCGCGCCACCGGCAACAACCGCAGCAGCGACTCCAAGCTGCGGCACCCCATGCCCTCCGCAATTGCATCTCCCAGCCGATTGAGTGGGACCATCCACAACATGGGGACCCCCAAAAATTAGGGGGCCTCCCAAAAAAGGTGGGTGGGTGTGGGGGGCTCCCGGAAAGGGCGCAGTAATGAACGGGGGGTGGTTGATTAGCAATGTGCTTAGTCAACCTCTTTGTGGTTTTTCATTTGAAGGCGACCCAGGTTTTAATTTGAAGGCGACCCGGGTCTGGCTCCAACAGGGACACAGATGCAGACCAGGGCAACATGCATAGAGAAATGTCTGGGGTGGGGATCCTCCCCGCGCTGCCCAACCATGTTGGATGCATCTGACTTGTTGGGTCGTTCTCTTTAGCAATCTTTCAGGGGTGCAGGTGGAGTGGGCATCCAAAATACTCCCAGAAAACTTGCACACAAAGGCAATCCTGCCAAGTCCACCTGTGGATGTTCATCACCCAGTTTCACAGTGTCATGTCGGCGGGCCACGTCCCGAAACAGGTAGATGGAAATGCCCGTCCATTTACCTGGCGGGACATATGTGTCCCAACAGGATTCGTTCAGGGTGTGGCTCTTCGAAATTCAAAGGGGTTCTTGATCTGGAATCGAACCACTGAAATCCTTCATTAATCAAAGCGGTGGGCACAAGCAGGGGAACAAACACTGACCCAACAGAGGCATAAAAGAGGGCCAGTAAAACATGCGTTGTTTCTATGAAGGACCCTTAGCCCTTAGCCAATTGACTTTTCTACAACTCCCGATCCTTGCCTATAGAAGTGGAATCTCCAGAATTGCCAGCTTCAGAGGGGCTCTGGGTCTGAGTTCCAGTGGTCGGCCCTCGCAGCAATTCGAGAAAAATTGCCCTATGATCAAATAATTATTCAGAGATTCGAACAAAACTTGCCTCCTAAAGACCTGCAAAGAAACGAGACCCAAATTCATTCGAGTGGAAACCAAATGGTCGATGCGCAGAGGGGAATTTAGTGCTGCTTTGGTACCTGGTCACATTCAGGGACTCCACCGCGACGGCGCTCACATGCACAACCATAGAGAACCGCCGCTTGAGGTTGCCCAAACGAATGTGCCATGGTCGGTCTCCTGTTATGACATCCTGGCGTGGTGGTTGAATCAGGCGCGCGATGTGTAACGCCTGCCATCTATCTGCGGTTTTATTCGGGTTGCCTCATCGAACTGCACGACTGTATGCATGCTGGGACCCTTGGTAACCCTGCTTGACAAGGCGTCCATAATCAGCTTGACGAATCCTCTTGAAATCTGGTTTGCAAGGACTGGCCCCCTTCCCCCTTTTTCCCGACAGTTCGAGACCGTTTTTTTTTCCCCCACACACCCTGTTGCGCTTTCGCATGGTGTGTCTCTTGCATCCGGCCCTTCTGAGCGGCATTATGTTGGTCGAATTTGACACTCATCAGCCGACATGGCTGGTTTGCAGAGCTCAGGCTATACTGTCCAAGGCCGGCGAGCTCCATGGTTTGAGCTTTGATGTTGGGTCCAACCGCCAAACAACGCTGGAAGGTCGAAGCAGCGATGTTGGAGTCAAGGAAACTGCTGCTTGAAGGAATGCATCGATCGAATACTTCTCACTTCTCCCCCTGTTTCGAGAGCAAGCCAAGTGCGAATATTTGGCGAATTGGGGGGCCAAAACTTGGGCAACCACCTTTTCGTGTCCGAGTGTTCATTGTTTCGGCACGCCTCTGGATGTTTTGGGGTCGGTTTGTTGGTTGGCTGAAACAAGAGAAACACCAACAACAGGTATATATAGTGGAGGCCGTTCAACTGGGCATGCATAATGCCTCATAATGCTACAATCGGGGTTTCAAGTGAACTTGCTGATGGAGTCCCTGTGAAATGGGCCCGAAAATCAAAACAAAAACGCCCGCCACTTCACATAAGCCAATGAACGTCAAGTTTGCCGACTGCCCCGACAAAACATGGGAAACTCAGTGAGTCCCAGCCGAGTTCTTCCCTACCAACCGCCCAGGCGAGACTGGCGAAGCCCACCTTGCAGAGCTTGAAGTCCATCTTCCGCAGATGCTCCATCAAGTGCTCCCCCTGTGGCTGCACTTGGCTGTGGCTCAAAAAAAACCGGTGCCAAAATGGACACCCTGAGAAGTGGAAACATGGACCAAAACCTGCGGTTTGCCCCTCCTGTTTGATTTTGAGCCTCACCCAATTGGACCATGCTCATCGGATTCATCGGGGCCCATGGACAACTCGAACACCATTTCCGCCGTGGTTTCCGCGCAAACATGTGAGAGACGCGTGCAAAGTTCTGGTCCCGCAATGGGATTGACCGGTCCTCATAATACAAGAAGTTGCGGGTCGTTGAGCACAATGTCAAACCGGCCCTGACGTCAGCCTCTCCTTTGGGTCTGGTGCATGTTCGAGGAATGCCAGCATTCAACGGGGCCTCCAGGCTGACAGCACATGCACACTACATTCCAGCGCTACTTGTTAAACAAAAACAACCAAACGCCGCCCAGCACACAGCCAGTTACCAGTCACCCTGATGGAAACAGGGTGAGCTATATACCCCCGAACTATATCTCCAAAAGCTGCCATCATTCAAATGAACAAAACACATTGAACACTTAAGACCCGTACATACGGAGAAATCAGGAGCCTGCAGCCACCAGGCGGCTTCCATAAGGGATCAGTCTATAAGGATACCAGGAGAAAGGGTCCCAGATTGCTGCCATCAACACACCACGCCTTGGCCAGCTGCTCAAAAAATGGCCTCAGTTCACGAGGCGAGCCCAGCTTTGCCCACAAATGCCTGAAAGTATGTGCGATCTTTCTAGATGCAAGCCACATGCTTGGAAGCATTTGCGAACTCCCTACGTATATGCAAGCAAGCTAACCGTTTAATCACACGGAAGCGAAGCCAGGAAAGTTCCAAAGTCAGGCCCTGACACAATTCCAGCGTCTGTAAGACTCAGGTTCTCCCGGAGGTTGATTTCCTCCATGTGCTCGCGGTCTTGCAGCATGCCTGGCGAACAAATGCCCACGTGGATCACACTGATGAAATAGGAAAGATAGTTCCATGCAAACATGTTGCAAGCTGCTCGGTGACCCACAAACCGACTGCCCTTCGGGTCGCCTCAGATATGAGCCACCCCTGGGTGAAGAATCCGCGCGCCCTGTTAGGATCAACAAAAAGCAACCTGCTTCAACGTACTCTAGTAGGAGATTGACTTTTATACCGAAGGACATGGACATCCTGAGTAGGGCACATCTTGAACTGTCCTCCAGGTAAAGCCCTGAATGTATGTAAGAGTGACTTCATATCTTACGGTTAAGCAATAAAATCATAGTGTAAAAGCATCGAACTGCCCGGAAACCTCACACAGCATCATGTGACATCGCGATTTTAACATGTGAACAACAAAGTAAAATGCTAAACATACAGGATTTTGCAGGAGCAAGAAAGTCAAAGATACTGCGGCATGATATTGACCCTCAGCAGTCATGAGGCAAACCCGCAAGTTGAAGGACCTTGACTAGGTCCCTGATTGCTTAGAAGCAAACACCCTAGAAGGGGGCGCAAGCATAATTCCCTCCAAACAACCTCAAGTACAACCGACTTATCTTTGCAAGACTTAGGACCGTCCCACTTTATGTTCCACACGCCCGAGGTGTGCCAATGGCAGGTCGATCCGAAGGCCCGGTGCCTGTGATGGCCAGAAGGTCATGATCTGTGAAGCCCCTCCTCTGTGCAAGGAGCTTGCTGGAGAGGCCTCAAGCCACGGGCATGGCCGAGCCGAAACAGAAGCCTCAACAGAACCTAAGATTGGGGCACCTGTGAGAGGTCCCATGCCCTCCTGAAAGCTCCCCAAATCAAAACCAGACTGATAGCGACATGTTCAGAGAACACAGCCTGGCTGGTACCGGCCAGGTCCTGCAACGCTTTTTAAACCAGCATTCAAACCTTCACACTTAATGCTTGCCATGCGGTAGCCACATGCAAACCCACACACACACACTTTCCTCCTGATGCAGCAGCAGGACAGTACGACCACCCCCCCCCCCACCACCACCACCAAAAAAACTAAAAAACTGACCCAATGATAGGTCCGGCCTTTTTGCTCGATGGAATTTGGTCGGGTTATGTCCAATGAATTAGACATTCCAGCATTCCGAGCTGGATTTGACTGGGGTCTCTTGGGATGGATTCTGAGAAAAACACCGTTTCTGAACGCTTGCCTGGATTTATTGGAGTCATGTCGCAGCAAGAGTGGAACAAATACAACAAAACAATCAAACGAAGCTGGAAGCAGTTGGCATCTGGGATGTGTTTGAAGCAATGGCTGCGCATCTCATTGGGGAACGCTAACTAAAGAGATGCGCTAAAACTAGTTTGTTTTATTGTTGTAGATGGAAACGGATATGTGTTGTTTGCCTTTCAATAAACATGATTCATCTTGGCGACCCTGGACAACCATGACTCAAAAGCATGCCCGTACCTTCCATCAAACTGCGTAATATTTTACAAGAATAAGGCCCCTTGCTTTGTGGCGAAGCTCGTTTTGCTTTTAGGAGAGGTAAGAACAACCTGTGCAAATCAAACAACATATGGCCTGCACTTCGCAGCAACCAACCCATGTGGTACGTGAAACAGTCTGGAATGAACCTCGATTTACAGGACAGGTGAGGAAGCTCTGTTTGTCCGCCCCCAAAACCCGTTTTGTGGCATGTTACCTTTTGGTTTTGGGACAAGTACAGGCTAGGGAACAAAAGCAGGGTCCCTTGCCAGTAGTTATCGACAACTTGCTGCAATCTAGAGGCCAGGGGCGTGGCATTTGCCAACCGCAACGCGAATGTTCTATGCCCAGTGGCCCGTGTTGAAGTCGATCGTGTCTGGCACTGTGGCACGCTGGTGGCATTCCTGGCACCAACGCAATTGAAGCGGCCAAGAAATCGGGGCGCTCTGCAGCCCGCCTCACCAACCACGAGACCACAATTTGCATGGCGCCGTAACATACAGGCCAGTGGCAATCTCAAGTGTGTCATTTCCAGATGCTGGCAGCAACCATGGGGCACCAACATCAAGACTGCAGGGCAAGCTGTCCCCAGCAAGCCAAGATACAGGACATGTTCATCTAAGGCATATTCGCGAAGGGTTCACTGCCTCTTGCCGCTTGCCGAGCCATTTAAGTGCGGCGCAAAACTAATGACCCAGGGGACATCAATTTGGATGGTTTTTGTTGATTCTGGTTTCGTTGGCCACTCTGAATGCAGGGCAAGGGGAAGATGCCAGAAACCTAAAAGGGCAAAAATAAAGAAAAAAACGGCGAGTTCAGTCTGTCTCCGCGTCTTTGCGCCTGCAGGTACTTGCGGCAGCTCGATGGCACATGACGAGTGTTTGGCGCGGTTTGTGGGCGCCGGCCTCGGTGGGGCGCTCGCTCGCGCACGCTCGCGACGCGCACAGCACGCGCGCAGCACCCTGGTCGACACCTGTGAAAGGATGACTCACTGCTGGCAGCAAGACAAATCGATATTTCCAAACTCGGAAAGTCAGAAAACCCCACAAGCCTCCATACAGTTGAGTGACAGATGGCACAAACCCATACAACTCCCGAGGTTTGGCTTTGTCATGCCCTCATGAGGCTTCCTGATGGACCCCTTGCTTTCTCACACGCAACGATGGCACTGGCGGACTCAAAGCACTCAACGTCACTCGTGAGTTGCCGCGCCGCTGGTATCTGGAGTGAGTGCCACGCATCCCTAAGATGACCATTGTTTGCTGGATGGTGGCCATATGTCGATTGAACTGTGCACTATATATATATATATTTGTCATACGTATACGCATGATTAGCCAGATGTACGGGCTGGTCTTTTGCGGGGAAAATTGAAACGGTTGTCAATCAATGATTGAAATCCCGTAGATGCACCTGAAAAAAAACCAGCTTGTGCCGGACGTATAATCTGGGGAAGGCTGGAAAGTGCGAGCCTCAGCTGGTGGTTTTCCTTCTGGGGAGCTCATCAAATATTTGGGTGAATTCTCACCATTCCCCAACATAAGGGTTTCCAAAAGCAGGGTTGCTTCATGCGTGAGGTCACAAACCAAAGCCCCTTTGTCAGCTTGTCTTGTTCACCGAAAAGATTTGGTGCAAGTGGACCAGGGCCCCCATCAAGAGGATGGTAAACCTCCTATCCTCTTCCATGACGGATGGAGGGTAGCACATCCTATGGGCCCGGCTTCGCTGCGGCGTGGCGGGCCAAGCTTCGCAGCTCCTGCATGGCTTGTCACAAACGCACATGCCGAGCGCCGAGCGCAGCCTGGCCCGAGCCCGGACGAGAGCCTGAGAAGTGATTGAGCTTGAGCCCCCCCCATGGGTTCTGCAGGCCACAAAGCGAGAAGAGTGAAGGGCCCTTTTGTGGTAGCACCGCATGAGGTGAGGTGTGAAGCGAGTGGACCGAGCTTGCGGAGCAAAAATAAGTAAATCAAAGCCTGGAACTCGATTCAGACCATGCCTAAATGACAAGCACTCCCGGAAAGCATCTTGTGAAAGCCCATTTGTGCCACGATCAGAACTCCTCATGTGGGTCATGAATATTGCTCCTTTGCATTGATTGTCCACAAGCCGTACTAAGAGGTTGATAATCACAAGCCCCAAGTAAACCGGTCTTTTGACCATATAATAATGCCAAATTGACGTATGGTGCAAGTCCCACGGGCAAATGACTGATGCCACGTTTTGTCCAACAGTTGCCGCCTGTTTTGTGCGAACCTGGCAATCTGGGAACGGCTTGTCAATGGAACTGGGCTTCTTTCTGGATTTGCTTGCGCTCCTTCCAGCTTGCAGCCAAGGGATTGTCCAGCGCGGACAGGATATTCACTCTTTGATGGACACAACATAAATGATTATATCAGCTTTTGTGCACATCAGGGTGAAAGAGTTTCCCCCCACAAGCACCATAGCAGTCCCGGATCCCAGGCAGGGAATAGACTCAGGTAGGCTTCTTGAGGTTTGCTTCCGGCCACTTCATTCTCTTTTTCGGAATGGTGAACCAGGCTATTGTTGGTATCTTGATAAAGGATGCGCCTCAGCCTGTATTCGGGCTCTTGTTCAACCATCACTGCCTGGTCTCTTGTACAGGTTATCCTTCGAAGGCAATTCTTATGCCCTCGGCGGCTTACTTTCTTTCCTCTTTCAGAGCTCTGAGAATGCTGGAGACGCAAGGTCGCAACAAAAAGAGGATGACCCACTGCTTTAGCAATTCTAGACTCTCCAACTAGGTTTGCCCACGGGGTTGGGCCATGCTGCTTTTTTCCAGCAACTTCTGAACAACAAGGTAAGTACATTCTCATTCCGTGCGCGTGGCAGTGCGTCCATGCACGCCAAATGGCCCATGGCCCTGCCCCAGCCCAGCCGAAGCTGTCATGGGCTGCAGGTCTTTCTCGGTCAGGGGCACGCGCTTGTCCGGATGGGTGAGGTGCCTGGAGCAAACGGACCGCCCATGTCGTTTGTTTTCGCCAGCAACCCAGAAAACGGTAGGCACAAGCACATGCTATCTGTGCGTTGTATGCAAAGATCAGTCTACGTGAATAAAAGGATGGGTCCCTGGACATGCACATGTGCAGCAACGTTGCAACCACTTTGTCAGCCTCCCTGTGGCCTGTGCAACACATAATTAGACCAAGCGCGGCGAATATATTTTTTCCACAGAGAGACGCTTCGTTGAGTAGTCCCTCAACATGATCGTTGACATCCTTCGTAGCAATGAGGTCTTGTTTCAAAATGCCCCTGCAAAGCCTTTCACTTCATTCAAAAAATGATCAAGAAAGTCACGCAGTCAATGACTTGGACCGTAGCTAGTGGGCCAGTCTCTGGAACCAGCACGCCAAAGCAAACTAGACAAGTCAAAGCACTCAATACCCCAACGAAAACAATCAATGCGCGAGTTCGCCTCAGTCGGTAAGCCACCAGATACATCTCGCCACATGTCAACCAACATGCAATGCAACTTGAAGTGCTTGCCAGCAAGAACGCTGTGGGCCACCGTCACGCATGTCACATTAGCCACATGGTCCCCAGCGGATTGATACATCTTTTGGTGCCAAACAACCCGTTACCAGTACATGTGTGGTGAGATGGGCAAGCTTTGGGAACTGGCCCCAGCATATATCCATTTGCAAGTTGAGAAGTGGGGCGCCACGTGTCCTTTCTTGCAAAAGAGCATGCTGGCTTTCTGCCCCAACCAATAATCCTTAACAATCGCCCCCTTATTGGGTCAGGGGCGCACTAACAGAAAACAGCAGTCCCTCTCGCTGTCAGAACTGTCGGACTTTGCCCTGGTGAACACGAAACACATAACACATGGATCTGCATGATCAATTGGAGCCTGCACAAACTCCCCCCGTAAAGTAGTCCTCCCAGCATCCCCCAAGTTGGTGTAACCCAACGCCCCCCTGCCAATCATCACTTAACCATGCGCACACTATTGGTTGGCAACGCCACTTTCACATTATGTATCGCTATCAATTGAATGAGAGACCCTGACAGCAGACGCGCTCGCCGCGCTCGCCGCCCTCGCCGCTTCCGCTCTCGCGGCTTCCGCTCTGCGCCTCAGCCTGCCGACGGCGGCGCTCTGCGGCCTCGAGGGCAAAGTGCTCCAGGAGCCAGCGCTTGAAGGCCTCACCATAGGTGTCCTTTTAGTGGAAATACATGGCCCTGGTAGATTAATACACCACCAGGTAAACCAGGAATCGCCATCTATTTTAGCCACCGGTGGTGTCAGTATATCCCCTTATTCATCCATCATTGTATATTCCGGCCTCTCTTTCCCTTCTTGCTTAAACAAATGATGGCCACCAAAACAGATTGTCAGGTCCAGCTCGCGGCTTGCAACCTGATGCTCGCTAGCTTAAGCCAACACCACCCAGCACCAACAGCCACGACCAGACTTCCACTCCATCATCTACACTCAGAACATGTTCTCGATATTGTTCGCAGGTTATCTTTGCTGTGTTGCTGCTCCAGTCTCTGCCGTGGCCCTGAAGTTCTGGCAGAGCACTGCAATAATTCGTGTGCAGACTGTATTAAACTTAACTTGGCATGAGTATTGCCATGGCGCCTGCGCAGCGTTTGCAAGGCTTAAGTTTCAACAAGATTCAACTAGTGTCTCCTGCAGCTGCTTCTGCATCTGTGGGCAAATGTGACGAGCACGAGCAAAGCATGAGTGCTCGAGCCAGCACGCAGGCAGGTGAGCAGGCGTTCGTGCGGGGGAGGCCGAACACATGTGCGCACGCGAACCCTGTGACCTCAAGCAGAGCGGGAGATGCTTTGTTTGTTGTGCACTGCACGGCCCCACAAAGGCCACAGCATTGGGTGTCTGTCTGGCTCGCAGGATCGACGCGACTGCTATGTTGTCGGATTGCCTGTTCTTCCTGCTCTGTGTTTGTTAGCATGTTCGACTTAATGGAGGACAAGCACCTTGTCTAGCTGGTTGTCCAGTCTCGTAAGCCTGTCGACGGACGTAGGCCTGTGTATGAACCGAGGAGCCGAAACTTGATAAGCCCAAACTTAACGATCGCAACTCCATGCACCTGTCGTGGGTACTCAAGCGAGTGCGCGTTTGTAAGCAGCTGGCTATCAAATGCTTAAACACCGTGCTGTGGATCTTCAAAAACAAGAAGCCCATCTCTATTCCCTACATACAGCCATGCTACTCGAAACGCTGTTCTCCTACCGACAGGTATACAAGGTACAACTATCGTTTACTACGCACCGGGCTACAGCCCTCAGCAAAAATGATTTGTCGATCTCCTGCTGGTGCCGCATGCGAGGGATGCTCGCCGAAACACTGTTGAAACTCTCGGAAGGATCCATGAATAGGGTACGCTTGTATGGTTCCACGCCGCTTTCTAAACATGTTGGCAAGGACATCCCCCCACCTGCCCTAGCCACTGTGACCACAAACTACGAGTAGGAATGCAAGACCCTCATCATAATTCCACTATATAAAGGTTGATCTTGTTGCACCATTTTTTCTGACCTCATCCCCCTGCAGATGTTGGTGGCTCTTCTGGGCTTGGGGTCAAAAACACGTTTGTCATAGGTAACATCTCAAACGTGGTCGTGCCCTTGCAGAGCTTCTGGTAGCTCCTCAGCTGAGCAAACTCGGACACCATCAGCTTCTTGACTCAGCTTGACTCCTTATCAACCAAAATAAGGTCATTTTCGGTGCGGGGGCATTTTTTTGTTGGGGGGGGGGTCTTAAAGGGGAGCCCCCGTGGGAGTCATCAAAAGGTACCCGCCTACCTTCCCGCGATGTTAACCGCCGCATGTTTATGTTTATAGGATAGGTAAGACACCGTAGTTCCGGAAATGCAGTGTTTACCCCTTGCCATGAACATGTTGGAAAGTCTCAAAAGGCCCAAATCACAATTCCTCCTAAAGCCCCCTAGGCAAAGTCACCCGCATTCTCCTTTTCTCCGCTTTGAAAATTGGATTTATCAAAGGAAATTGAGGGACTACCTACTTCACGCGAATATCACGGGTGAACGCCGCAGTTCACGGGTAAACAGCGCTTTTCACGCTGTTTCACGCGGCTGTTTTCTGGGCAGAACTCTAGGGGGCGTGAAAATACAAGAACATCTGATCTAAGCATTGGAAGAGTGGCAGCCAAACACCTGCAACATAGACATGCAAACACCTCTTCAAGCAAAACACTCCACCTGCGAGTTCTGTTCCGGAGGTCCTAGTGAAACAACAGTGAAGGCAAACAACTCCCGCCTGGCCCGGCTGCGGGCGACCGAGCCGGCGCTGGTGGGCCTTCGAATTTCAAGAACCGGACCGTTTGTCGGCGCAAAGTGGATGGATTAACCCGAAATCTAGAGCCATAGGGACATGGGAAGGTCATGACCCTCAAGCAAGTGTCCTTTAATGGCGCCGAACAGTCACTAATTTGTTGAGGATCTGTTTCAGGAAATGCCGAGGTTCATTTCCCCAAGCGCCTCTTGAGAGAAGCAGCAAGTACTAGGCTCACGTCGTGTTGGAAAGCCATGACCTTGTCCAAAAATGCGAGTTCAGGATTCCGACGTACCTGAAAACTCCCAAAAGAAAATGCAGGTAGACTCCCTGAGCGGATTGGTCCTTCCTGAAAGTAATCTCACACCCGTACAATGGCGCGGTGAGGGGGCAAAGACAGCGCTCGCCTGCATTAAAGGAGTACCAAGAGAGTAATCTTCAAAGGCCAGCAACAAGGGGGGTCAATTGAAAACCAGCAACCATGCATCCACACAATTTTCTAGCCCTTGGATTCCCCGAGAGTACCCTCTATGTTGCGGCATTCAACGAGCGGAACCAGCACTCAGAGTTCCAGGGTTGTAGGTCCGTTCCAAGGGGTTCGTTCTCGAACTATGACACCAAAGGTCCCCTAATGTTGTCATCAGAAAGAAAAACCGAGGAAAGCTGGGGGCCTGACAGCACATGGTACACCCCCGAAATTTCAGGGGAGCCCCTGCGTACCCCAACATAGGGACCAAGGATTGCCTTTGAAGAGGTCAGAAGCGAATGGCGTGCCTGCTGCTCATGGACCGAATCATGTCCTTCCGCTCCGGCAAGATCGGCTTGGGCCGCTCCAGCCCGGGCAGCTCTTTTTGGCATGTCCTGGCCAAAGTGCGGGGACCGGTCCCTGGACCTGCTTCCCATAGCTGAGTCTTGGCTGATCTTTTTGCCAACTGCTGCCGCACTGGAGAATGCTAGGCGGTGTGTGTTGTAGCTTTCTGCCGCATAGAGAGCAAACTCGCCGGATCTCGGCGGTAAATTTCACCAACCGCAAAATGACAGCTTGGCAACGGCAATGAGGTACAAATGAACAGGACTTGGACATGTAGTGTTTTCCTCCCGCAGACAAACATGGAAGTGCACAAACCCCCTTTCCTTTTGAAAAGTAGTCTTCCACAAGGGGCTTGTGCACTTCAATGTGTCTTGGTGAGAGGCTAGTAGTTATTGCTTTGTTGGGGCCGAAGCATGGGATATACAAACGTAGGTGAACGGGTGGGGGTATTTGATCATGAATTTGTAGTCACGGGACCTAAATCATTGACATTTTTCTTGTTGCTACTGAACAACTATCAAGAGTCCCATGTTCAGAGGCACCGGGTTCCCTTTATCTCCCTTACATCACCCCTACCAAGGGAAACTCAGCCCCGTTGAGTGACTGAATATAGAGACTAGTTGAGCAGTTTTGAGTGGAAAGCCCGCTGGGCCGAGGCGGCAAAAGAGCGACCGCCGGGAAATGCAGTCCTGAGCGCGCCAGCGCTGGCTGGTCGATGCAGCAGCACGTCCCTGGACGTTCGCTGTATTGAGAGCTGTGCAAAATCTGCCTAAACCACGGTACCCTGCGTTGTGCCAAATGGGGAGAGGTCTCGATTAGACCTAATCCGTACTCCGCTCGTCTAACAGCTCCACCGCCCATGTTCAACTAGAACCTGGTTCTCTTGATATGTCAACTTTAACAAGGTTGCTTGAAGCTAATGGCTGGGGCGTTGTTCCAGTCAGTCAGTGTGGCCCTTTCGCCCTTGATTGGAACCAGTTCGGGTTTAATACGTCCAAAAGGAAGCCATGAGAGGCTTCAACACATTTGCTTTCGCATAAACCACCGCTAGAATGGTCGTCCAAACAGGGCAAGGCTGTGATATAGGGCTTGGTGGTACAAGCCCAGCTGAACATAATGTGGGCGGGGGCAAATATACAACTCAGCCCATACAAGTGGCTGTCAGAAAGGGAAGCGGCTTTCCTTCGGCATGCTTCATTTGACATCCGCCCCCAAACTCAAAAAGCATGTTTGCCTTAAAAAGAGCCTAACTTGCTGGTGCAGTAGGGAATGACCCATGGTGTTGGGAATGAACCGTTTTGGGATTCCCTTAAAGGAAACCAACATGAGGATGTGTTTTTTGTTTTTCTCCGGGGTCATTCCATTTCTCCCCCCCTGACAACCAGCAAGCTCAGCCACCCGATCCCATCCGCGCGAATTTCCCCGCCGGACCTCGCCTGAGCACCGCCTGGGCACGCTGCACCTGGGCGCTGCAAGGCCGCAGCTTCCAGCGGCTGGCCGAGGGCGTCTGATTCTCCAGGCCCCGCAGCTCCCTGAGATGGAAATTTGCTCGCCAGTACGATGGGAAGTTTTCAATGACCACTAGCCACTCCTGTGGGTGTGTGTGTATGGGGTTTGGGGATTTGAGTCAAGATGATAAACCACCAAGATGGGGTTTCTTTTTTATGACCACCCGCCACTTCTGTGTGTGTGGCACCAGGATATGAACCGCAGGGTTTTGGTCCTGTCCATTTACCAGGGCAACCCATTTGGAATACTTTTTTGACCTAGTTGGCTTGTGGGGTTCCGGATTCAACTCAATTGCCAAAAACCTCTTGACAGAGGTGGTGTGAGAAAACCATGGGTTCGGAAATGCAGGAAGCCGTGAACAAAAACAAACGACACTTGCTCTTTATTGGGGGACCTTGGTTGTTTGACCGTAGGTACACGCCTGAACGGAAGCACCCAACAAGTTGAACTCAAAGAGATCCCTCTAGAAGCAATCGTCTGGGACCGCCTGCAGAATGGAACCCCGCAGCCAGCTTCTTTACAGAGACCCTCTTTGTTTCTTTTATTTAATTGTTTTTTTTCTTTGGGGGGGTAGTTTTTTGGGATCCATGTAAATCTGAGGAGTAATACACCGCAGGGTTGCTCACCCAATAAACTTCCTGAGGAGAAGGAAGTCCTAAGCTCTTCTTGCACTGCGCAGGAAGAAGGTGTTGATGCGTCGAATCCAGTTCTTCACATTCCAAAAAACAATATTAAAAAAGTAGCTTGGCTAAGGTGGTGCATTTGCCTGCTTGCTGGTCTTGTCTCAGTCTCCATCTTTTTTTTCTTCTACTGCTTGCCTACCGAAATGCAACTAACTGGCACGCCAGAGGGTAAACGACTAATTCACTTTGGTGAAAGTCGGCAAGCGATGGCAACGAGGCCATTCGGGAAATCTATGAATCTATGCCGTCTCGGGTTGGAGTTGAAAGAGGGAATCGAGATGGGACTTTGCGCGTGTTGGTGGGTGTTAGCACAGGTGAGTGCTTGAGATGCTTTGGCTGAAAAAGGAGGACAAAGAGAGAGAGGAGGGAGGGGCAGGGACGGAAGACCCAGACAGCTTTTGGGTGAAGCTGCTCATTTTGCTGTCCCTTAAGTTTCTTGATTCCGAAAAAGCAAACTGGCAAACAAGGTCGACAGGTTGATTCGTTGTTGACAAGTCAGGAAAGCAAACACAGTCTCGTTCTGGGACAGGTCCCAAACTTCCTAAATGCCCCCCCTCCCCTTGTCTTGTAATGGGTGGAGCAGCAACCGCGCAAAAACAGCTTCCCATTTTGAAAGGGTTGGAGCACCATCCAGAAGTTCCGATTTCTCGGCGCGGGGCTGGGTGACTTTCACCGGCAGCTTCGTGAAGCTGCTGGTGACCTGGCCATTCTTCGGGCGTCCCACCTAAACCGAATAACAAATCCATATGTGTATACATGTGCATACATATATGCATTTGTACATGTATTCACACACAATGTTTACATAAACAGTAAATCACTTAAAACTGTTATTCAACATCATGTTTTGGGAAACACTTGATTTCTGACTGAGGGTGGTTTCCGGGGAAAGCTGAAAAGAATGGACTTTACCCCTAGGATAGGCCGCACAACTAACCTGCAAGTTGTATCCCCACATTCGCTGTAGTTCATCTCCCTTGTAGCTAAAAACGAACCAATCCTTGGAATATATATATAATAAATAAATATATATATATATCTTTCAATATGCTCGGCTCTGGCAGAATTTGCCCTTGCCGGCTGTGCTTGAGGGCTCCCAGTCGGCTTCCCACAAAACGTGGCATTCGGAGAGCTGCTTGAGTTCTGCCGATGCTTCCTGTGGCTCATGCGTTGTGCATCCCAAGCACTAGCATTACTCCAAGAGTCTCTGGTTTTGCTGGAATTGCCTAAGGTCGCGTTCGCCCCATGAACATCTCCCGCCAGCAAGCAAATGTCAGTGAGAAATTGCGGGTTTTCGGGGAACCTCGCGTGACACTAAGCGACACCTTGAAGCTAAGTGATGTGGTCCCGGGGTTGGCCCACTTTGGACTTTTGGACAACCCGCTTCAAGGAACCCAACCGCGGCCTTCTTCTGGGCGCCAGGGCAGCGGTGCTCTGCGGCCCAAAGCCTCGGTGGGGCTTCCCGGGGGCTTTTTGTTTCTTCTTTTTTCTTCCAACCGCACACCTATGGTATAACTTGCTTGTGAGAGCGGTGGGGAATGAGGGAATGAACCCAAAAGTCTCCTTAAAGGAAACCACAAGGGATGGTTTATAGGGGTCATTCCTTCATTCTCGGCTGAGAGCCAGCAAGATATCATGTCTCGACCCTGCCCAACCCCAAACCTGAATTTGTTCTCCAGTTTGCCCGACTTGCGATGGGTGCAAAAAAGCGGAGGGTAGAGCAAAAAACAGGCCCCCGTCTTCACGTCCAACCAGGAAAGAATTCTACCTTACGGGGGTGGGGAGTGAAACTCCATTTTTTCTAAGTGGGGGATAAATGTCATGGAGGAATTTAAAGGCAATCACAATTCGCGGGCACGACGGAAAGTCACACATGGGGAAAAATCAAAGTAAAGCAGTCGTTGGAAGAATGGAAAACACGTTGGTGGGTTTAATATGCTGAGTTGACGATCCGATCAACATCTTTGGCGGCGTTGCCAACATGAGTCACCGTCAAAGTCTACCATTGATGGCATACCCAAAACCAAGTCAAGACTTCTCACTCGTGGCTGGGATTTTCTGGCAAAAAACATGGCCAACTCCACTGCGGAACCAGCGAACGACAAACTGGAGCTGGCTGGACTTGAATCACCAAATGTGCGTTCACAGTTGCAAGGCGTCAACACATCCTGCTAGAGCAGTATGAGTTACAAGTTGTGCTCTTTTGTTGCCTTGCTCGAGCCGAGCGATGCCAACAAGCTAGGCATCCACTTGGCCATCGTGCAGCTTGCAGCAAGGCGGTGCATCCAACCGGTCTGTCCACTGAGTCCCACCGTTGTTTTTGTTTGATTCCCGGAGGCCCTTCGAATCACCCCCGTGTGGTCAAGAAGCTGCTGCTCCACAGCGCTGGAAAAGCGCGCCAGCGTCTCGTACCCACCTCGCATGTGGGTTGGGAAGCGCGCACGGTTTGAGATGTGAGGTCGGAGAACTTGGGTTGAACGACAAGTTACTTTTTGGCGAAAAGGCATTGTTTCACTGGAAGCCACCAGCAATGGCTTGGCAATGGCTCATGACTACCAAGCTGGCTTGAAGTCCACGCCAGTTGTCCACCTCGTTGCCGTTTGCTTCCCAAATAGCAGAAGGTAATGTAGTGTGAATCCGGTGCATTGCGTGCACATCGCCTCTCCATGATTGCCCCCCCCCCATGCTGCGCAAACTGGCGACAAAGGCCGGAAACTGCTTTCAGAATTTACATGCCATAGTTGAGTGCCAGCTGCGACTAGAGTCTGGAGCTTCGGCCCGAAAGGTCACCGCAAAAGCATTGCTACCACTTATTCCAGGGCACGTGTTGACCAACTTTCAGTGGACCAGGGGGGTTCTGAATCCAAGGTGGTTGCCTCTTCAAGGAGACCCCACAGTTAACTATCATCAAGGGGGGGCCTGTTACCTGTTACCCCAAGCAGAAAACGTGCCGCTCTCAACCTTTCTCTCCAAATACTGGATGGAAAACCAGCTGAAAACAATTCTTCACTGAACTGGGCAAATTAGTATAATTCATAAATGTGGAAACAGGAATAGTCAATTACCTGCGTCATGGGTGTGCTCGTTTGGCCCCCGGACCTGCGTGCTGGTTCTAGATTGTTCAGGATGAAGGCAAAACCCAAATCTGAATCAAATCCGATGGACGCGCGAGCCTTCAATGTGTGCTTCCTCCACAAGGCTCCGTTCCTTCCGCTCGTCACGGGCGCGGTCGTGGTACATGCCTGGGCCAAGACAGCAAGCACCGGCCGCGTGCTCAAAGCACGAACCAAAGGCAAGAATACGCCCCCCACCCACAAACAAACAAATCAACCAAGAAAAAAAGCAGAAGCCAAACAAACACAACACAACAACACAAACCAAACAAACAAGCACACGAACAAAACAAAACTAGCCAAACAAACAAGCAAAACACAACAACTCAAAACAAACTAAACAAACAAACACACAAAACATAACACAGCAAGCCAAACCAACACAGGCAAAACAAACCAAATCATGCAAAACAAAACAGCACAAATCACGCAAACCAAGCCATACCGGGGGAAAAATCAAACAAACAAACAAACAAACAAACAACCAATCAAACAAACAAACACACGTAACACAACAACCCAAACTAAAAACACACAACGCAAATAAACAAACACATACCCAAAATAGAACAAACAAATCGCACCAACAAATAGCCAAACAAATCAAACAAACCAAACAACCAATGAATCAACCAAACAAAACAAAAAAAACACACACACACACAAGCAAACTCGCGCACAAACACACGCACACACTCACAGTGTCACACGCACGCACGCGCGTGCCCGCGAAGAAAGCGAAGCACAAACTTGTACGGACTCTGGACTGATAAACCCGGTCCTTTTGATAGGGACACTTCCCAAAGAGTGCACCGGCACGCCCCGTTCTGGCGTCCTCATTACATCACGCAGCTTCAAGCAGTCGGGCAGCTGATTGCGTGGGAAAACACAAGGTCATTCAGGCACCTTACACGGAAAACGTGGGCACAACCGCGGAGAACCGCCTTTTTTGACCGTTTGCCAGGCCACTCCAAAAGCTCTCGTGCAGCTGACGTCGGTCCTCAAGGCGCGTGAGGACCACATCCTGGTCGTCCTTGTAACCGAACTCCAACATCTTCACGTTCATCTCCCAGTTGTGGATGGAGGCCGTGATCGTCCTTGGCCGAACTCAAACAGCGATTTTTATTTTTACATGCTGTTGTCAGCTCCTGTGGCTTGAAAGCAATCACAGCGCAAGCTGAGGCAAACACGCAAGGGTCGACTTCATGTTCTGAATGTTGCGGACCTGCGCTCTCATGTCACGAGATGTCATGAGCCGGCTGCTCCTTCAAAAGTCGAATCCAAGCCGAGAAACCGGGGAAGAGGGTAATGGCGTGCCTTGGGGCATGCTTCACTGCCAAACGTCACAAGAGGATCACTTTTGGCGTGGCTTGTTCGATGCAACCTGCTTGCGAAACATTGGTCTGGCCTGCACGGGAGAGCGAGTAATCCAAAGGGGCGATGTAAGTCATGTGACTTGCAAATCAATCGTCAACCGGCTGACCAACCGACCAACCCAACCCAACCCAACCCAACCCAACCCAAAACAATCGGACCAACGGAAAGATAGGCAGGCAGACAAACAAGCAAACAAACAAACAAACCAAGAAAGGTAAACAGCAACAGAGAGGCCAGCAAACAAACACACAAACAAACACACAAACAAACACACAAACAAACACACAAACAAACGAACAAACAAACAAACAAACAAAACAAACAAACAAACAAACAAACAAACAAACAAACAACAAACAAAACAAACAAACAAACAAACAAACACAAAAAAACAACGTAACACACACACAAAACAAACAAAAACCAAACAAACAACAAACAAAAACAAACAACGACGTAACACACAAACAAACAAACAAACAAACAAACAAACAAACAAACGAACGAACAAACAAACAAACAAACAAACAAACAAACAAACAAACAAACAAACAAACAATGTGACCAAAACACCAAACAACAAAAACAGCACCTAAGCAAGCACACCTACAACAACATCAAGAAGCCCTGCAAGCACAAAAGGGACAAAGCGACTTCTGACCAGTTTGACCCAAGGCCATCCTACGGTTATACCTGTGGGCCACATGCTGCGCCTGAGCAATGAAGTCGCTGAGGCCGGTGGGTGGCATCACCCCCTCCTATCGCCAGCGGGTCGCGTTTCTGCCGCAAAGCCAAGAACCAGGCCGACATAGCAAACAAAAATGCATGACACCCAAGTTGGTCTAATTTCAAAGAAATTAGACAATTCCATAGGAAATCCCTGATTTGGGTGGGTATTTGGCTAACTTCCTGTAGAATTTCCTGTAGCTGGTTTCTATGATAATTGCCTTGTGCGCCGTGGTGTGGCCAAAAGGGTTGTACAGAGGTTGAACTGACTGGAGCCTCTTTCGCAGGCTCTGCTAACCCGTCGGGTTCCAATGCAACTGCCACAAGCGCGAAAAACAAACAAATGATCCTGCGGGACACCTGCAGATCTTTCCAGTCGGTTAGGCAACGCCTTTCGCACATCGAAGGCTCAGGGCATTGATCCATGTTAATCCACAGGCTCTGTCCAAGGGATCTGGAAAGAAATTTGCCTGGTGGGACCAAAAGGTCGGTTCGGGTCAACGTTTCTGGATCTGGAACTATGAAACAATTTTCCCAGCCGTTGGTTTCCTTTGGGTTGGACTTTCACACTCCCGGAATTCCAACTTTCGCATGGCTTGGGACATTGACTTTCCTTGAGCAAGGCAGCCTGATGACGTACAAACACGCATAAGTTGCACTATAATACGGATACGGGAGTCATAGCCATGGTTCCCTGAATAGGAACCTTTGTGCTGGTGGTCTCCTTCCGAATCAATTAATCAATGACCATCCAACTGCTGGACTTGCTTGCCCAACACTCAAACGTCACGCGTGCTGCAAATCCCCGTCCTTCTTCCTTTCGGCGACCTCTGCAAAGAAATGCGGACCCTTCAACTGCTTGGCCTACTAAAGCTGAAGAGATTGTGAGGCCCAAATGCTCCAGCTATCTAGGGGGCTAGCAGGACCCTTGGCGACCATGGAGTCGTCGACAAGGGCTTAGGTCGAAGTGTTCTCTTCCGGGACTGACCCCCCAAAAAAAACAAATTCTGGGCGAATTGCAATAAATCCTGAGGCCCCTGCAATGCTACACATCAAATCACCTGAGATGGCCAAGCGGAGCTTAGAGCTGTCAAGCAAATCTCTACTTCTCCCTTGCCTGATTCGTGTTACACCAAGCTCGACATCTGTCTCCCTGCTGCCTAGTAGCAAAACACGAACGCACACTTTGAATGGAACATAAATCATGAAATATTGGTAAATTTACTTATCAACCGACGTCGCAACCCTTCTAGTCATGCAGTTTGCAGCACTCCAACATGTTTGACACCAACTCCAACTGCCCCAAAGGTCATCATCTGCAAGCGGCCACATTTATATAACTTGAAACCAATATTAGATTCCATGCACCAACGGCTTCTCTGGTCACAGGATACCGGGTTGCTCTTTCTTCGCCCCAGTGTCAACAAAATATAAGGCGCTGTTTTTCTAGGACTGCCATGTTCAAGCGGCAGGTCTACTGAAGAATGAATATCGCTCCAACGTGCATAAGCGCGTGCGCGAGCATGCGAACAGGTGCCCGAGGGCGTGCTCGGGGGCCTGCGTGTGTGTTCATGTGTCTGTCTGTGCGCGTGTGTGCAGTACATCTGTGCTTGCGTATGTCCCCATGCGCGAGCGTGCGGGTTTATGTGCGGGCGGGCGGGCGGGCGGCCGGGCGGACGTGTGGGTGTGCCTGTGCGCGTGTGGCTTTGTGGCATGTTTGTGACACTCAAACAGTGCAGTGAGCTAAAACGGGGGGGGGGGCAGCTGTTTGCGGATCCAGCTGGAATGACACACATCAAAACAAACCAGGAAAGCGTAAGTATACCTACGAGCAACATTGAGTGGCCAACGCTGTGAGACCTTCTTGGCTATTGGTATCGTATGTGCACATTATTGTAGTTGCTCCTGCGTGGGTTAGCCGCGAGTCTGTTCCCACCAACATGACCTGTGAAACAATCAATCCCCAAAGTCTAGAAAGCTGAGAAACAAGTAAACAACACACCGGTACATCATCTCTCTCTCTCTTTTTCTCTGCCCTTGGATCCAACAGGTCCCAAGTGGCAACGCATGCAGGCCTCGCCACATGTGCAAAGCCAAGAGAACGCAAGGCAAATGCATCTATGTCCAACCCCAGCTGGGAAAACGTGGCCCCCCCCTGCTCCAACGAATGCAGAAGGATACTCAGTAGCTCTCCCCATCCCAACCAGCCATTGCTGCCAAGCTGACTTTCAAGCTGCTCGCGCAGAAGAAGGCCCGTCGCATGCTGACCTGCCTCGCCCAAGAAGGTGTTTGGTCTGCTGTGGAGGTAGTAGTAGAGGTACCTCTGAGCCAACCCGCTGGTCAAAACCGATATCCCACTCTGACTTGCTGAGCTACGGGCCAAAAACAAATGTGGTCTCGCCGAGACCGAACAAACACGAAGGAGAGTAAAGGCCGCCCGCGGCCCCGCATATCGCTTGGGTTCGCGCCTCCCCAAATACACCTGTACAAAAGGCTTGTCTCTCAAACCTGACAAGAACAACTGTTTGACCCTGACCGAAATGTATGTAGCCTTGAGCAGCGATCACCAGCCCTGAAAGCCTTTTGGGTGCTCATGGGTGGCTGCGGAAGGGGGGTCAAATTTCCAAAGCATAAGCGGCCCACTGCCAGTATGGTGTTTTTTACTGCTTCTAAGCTCAGATGGGGGGGAAACGAGCCTGCAAACGAAAAAACATGGCCTGTGTGATATGGTCACCACGACCACCCGGCCCACCTCTCGTTAGTGAGCCTCCAGGAGTTGTCTGCCGCCTGCACATCCAATGGCTTGAATTTGAATGTGCTTGCCAAGTACGTGCCAAAAGCGACAACCAAACATGACTGTCACTTTCCGCAGCCACAATCAAATACGGAAAACACTGAACAAACAGAAACTTGCTAAATAGTTAGCTCGCCTATCTTTTCCCAGCCTTGCAGCGCTCGATGTAGTCGGCCAGCACCCCACTGGAGGATTGCTGCTCCATTACCTTGGCTGGAAAATGCCAATGAAACCTGAAGGGCTCTGATTCAAAGCCAAGATTGGAGTGTTCCTCAACTACCCCAAAAAAGAAGCATTAGAGCATATCAAACAGAAAGCCAATGCTAGTTTTGGCTTTGGATGTGAGGCCACGCAAACGTTCTCTTTCGAAGGGTCCTGAGATCGGAAAAAGGGGCGCCCCAAATGTTTCCCCTCACGCAGCACCCATACCGCGCCCATTCTCGAACCATGAGAAAACCCATTTGGTCTGATTTACACCCAACTCATTGGGTTCTTTGAAAGGTGTGAATCCCAAATCCGCCATAGACCGCAATAGACCACGACTGTCTGGCACAAATAACGGATGGATTTTTTTCTGCTGGTGCAGAAGGGATATCCAGCGCCCACCAAAGATGAAGCAGCCCGGCGGCCCGGGTACCAAGCTACAAAAATGGCAACAAGTCGACGCAATCCGGAAAATGCTTTGGAGATGCCAATTTCAAAGACTCCAGTTGAATGGGTGAAACAGACGTATCTTCCCTCCCCACTGACATGGGGCCTGGGAAGGCCAACTTTCCTTTGCAGCCTTCTGACACTTTAGAGAGGCTTGATCTTTGGGTGCCAATGTTGATGGAGTTTCTATGGGGTTATGCTAGCCCACTTCCTGAGTGGACTGGCCGAAGGAGAAAAACAAAGGGCGAACTTGTTTTTTTGCCACTAAAATTGTCTTTCCAAAAAGTTCTAAAAATCCATGAAAACAGGGAGTGACTTAGTCAGGACAACCAAGACCACGAGCTATGAGTTGCAACTGGGTCACCTTCACGTGCTGCGTATGTGTGAGCTCCGCCGCCAGGTCCTCGCAGCTGGAAAGCTCGGCTCAAGTTGCCCTTTGCCGATCGCGGGTTTGCCTGTCACATGTGTTTTTCTTCTTTTTTGTCGGACGCTGGTGGCATTTATGCCTGTGTTTGGACAAAAGTAAGTGCAAACAGGACCACACAACATGTTTTGTCAAAGGACGTTTCACCAACACTTCCATCATATTGGAACTGATTGAAACTAGCTCCCTCGAATGCAAGCACGTGTGCGTGATCTTGAAGACTAGATGGGCGTCGACCCTCAAACACTCATGTTTGCTTAACGGTTTTCACTTTGCTCGCGCAATCCGCTGCGGACTTTGGGTTGGCCGACTGAAGGTCAACCCTTTGCAGACTTTTGGTGTCTCTTGCTTTGAGCAACTCGTCGTGTTTATCAAGTTTCATTTGGCTCGCACAACCCGCTGCACACCTTGGGCAGGTCGCCCTGCCAAACTCGCGGTCTTTAACCTCTCAACGCTATAATAACCAGGAAATTATCTAGCTAGTTTAACTACCGACGGAAAGGTAAGAGGGCAGAAAGATGGAGTGAAACGTAAATATAAAGATAGAATCCGATACAAAAATAGAGAGCTGCGCTCCAAAGCTTCAATGGGCTTCGGGGCGAGGGGGTGAGGAGAGGCAAGGAAGGAGCAGACAAGGAGAGAGACAGAAAGAGAGAGAGAGGGAGATACAGAGAGAGAGGGGGAGAGAGAAAGAGAAAAAGGGAGAGTAAGAGAAAGAGCAAACCAAGATTCACAATTCCAGCCGAGAACCACAAAGGAAGTTTATACAATGTGACGTCTCCTGGACCGCTCCCCAAATGATCAGGCTTGCTTCTGACCCGCCACTTCATTGGCAACGTGCTTCGTGGTAGCTCCCTGCGCGAAAGCCGAACGGCCAAAGCAAACGAGGCCTCCAGCTCGGCTTGCTCAAGCCTGGATGAAAGCAAGACGGTCATGCTCGAAGTTAAGCCTTGGTATGCAAAATATGTGTACGCACATGTCTGCACGTAGGTGCACAACTGACGTGCTCAAACACAATCTTAAAGGGCAACTTAAGTAGGGCTGGAACAGGTCCAGCATGCCCTCTCCTTGCGGCTTCTTCGAGGCATGCACAACATGGGCTTGTTCAGATTGCTTTCTTTACGTTTTGTCACCCGTTTTGAACAACATATGCCGCGGGATGTGGCCTCCGTTGCCGTGAAGGCTCACATGGCCCTGGTGTTATCTTCCAATCTCGGGCTCACCGTCGGAGTCGCGGGCCATATGCCAACCAAAAAGATGCATTGTCGTCATCAGCACCCTGACCAACTCAAGGGAACCTTTAGCTGCTGTCTGGCACATGCCTTGGCAACTGAGTCAACAACCTCCAAGAAGATCAGGGCACCTCTTTTCTGCTTGGGTTGAATGCGGAAATGAAGGCGGAACCCGCCTCGCGATACTCCTGGATTTGGAGAACGCCCTGGAGCCCTCACTCTTCAGGGAACCTCGGCCAAGAGGGACATCGGGCCACGGTAAGCCCTCTAGCCCACAACTCGAGCAACTACTACATAGGTCAACCTTTGAGAGCCATGAGCACAAAAACCAAACAGTCAATCTTGTTTGTACGCACCCAAAAAAGAAGTCGAAAAGCAATTTGAAAGAGACCTGGCAAATGGGCATGCTCTCTTTGATCAGTTTGGTGGTCACTCCTTTGGGGAAAAGTTGGGGGGAGGGGCAGGGCGAGCCATCTCTGCGCTTTGGTTGATTTCCGAGTAGCGGGTGGTATTCGAACGCCGCAGCGACTGCCGATGAGCCATCCGCCTGGGTGTTGCCACAACTTGCCACAACTTGCCAGCATTTGTCCTCAAAACCATGGCGTCCAGTTGGGATCCATCGGCAACTGAGATCTTGGGCCCTTGAACTCCATCTGTCTGGGCAGTCTACAATACTTCGCAAAGAAAATACACCCCCAGCTCTAGTGGCCTATGGGTAAGCTCGTTCTACCCGCGAGCTTGTCTTGAAATGAGCGTGTCTCAACATGGTGGACCCTTTTGGCTGGTACTTACAAGGAGACGCAAGGAAGCCCATGCTTAAGGGCCCTTTATCGGCAAATCCATGCATTCCCGGCGCTCGGAGGGTCTCTTTCTCGAGCGCGGGGACACCGTCGATGCTATCGAAGGTGTCACTGGTGGGCACAGCGAAGCCGGCGAGGGCGCTTGGCTCTCTTGGGAGGAACCTGAGGCCCGGAATAAACCCCAAGAACCATGTCGTTTCCGGGTTGGCCATAGTCCCAGCAAAAGGGACAAGGGTGTCAAGGAAATTGACCAGGAAATTGCTCAGTGGCCAAAGCAAAGCAAAGGACGCCGGTTTTGTCAGTCGTGTTTGAACGGCAACAACGCTCAAAGTACTTCACCCTTGAAAGTTCCCACCATCCTCCACGATATGTCAAAAGCGATCGTGCCATGTTTGCTTTATCCATGCACATTTTGTTGTCCCTCAAATCTGGCGCTAGGTTTTGCTGGCGCGGCTTAGGGTAGCGCGTCGTTTGGACTGGCAACTTGTTGTGGGAAGCGGGCGGGTGCCTTGGGTACGGGCGGTGTGGCGACTGTCTGTCTCTCGGGTTGGAGCAAAAAGGAGTGCGGACAGTCGCTTGAAATCTAGCAACGCCTAGTAATCATGAAAGCGGAGCCAAAAGGAAAGACCAACATGGGTGACGCCGGGCAAACGAGTCAGAATGGGTCAGGGGATCACCTTTTCCAATAGCCGCACCACACAGGGAAATAACCGCTTTTTAGGTTGCAACAACGCAAATGCTTGCCGAATGGAGCCCAAAAGCCAGAAGGAAGCCCTTGGTGAAACAGACATGAAAAAGGGCGGTCTGGAAGCATGCAGGACGGTGAATGCGTTGCAAATGTTGCCCGACTGTGGTGAACCCACTGCGGGGTCAATGCTCGCAGCGTACCAGTAGCCCAAAGCAGTACGCAGCCGTCTTAAGTTCAAGCCAAATGGCACATGGATCCATCCTTAGCATTCTGCACCTTCTCCGAGTCGTCCACATTGACATCTGCAGGGCGTAAGGACAGCACTCAAGCAAAGGAAATCAAAGGAAACAGTGGCGCTTCGCTTGGCAACTGGGAGGTCGTTAAAAGGGCCATGGAACCTAATTTGCCACGGCTTTGCGTGCAGCAGGTTCCAAAGCAAACGCCTGGATCGCGGAGCAAATCCTGCATCGAGGCGAAATGTGTTCTTCGCGTTTCAAGGCAACATCTGTTTCACAATCCGGCAAGCCATTTGCAAAGCAACTGACCTCTTGGAAGCAAGCTATGATGAAAAACTACTGACTATTCAGACTCCTTGAGAAGCTGGGCCCAACATTCAAGTCTCTGATGCAACACAATTTTCCAGATTTTTCATACCAACTTGTCGGCACCGAGGGAGCAAATGCGCACATGCGGAAATGGGGGCATGCGCGCGGGTGTACATTGTGCGCACGACTTACAACATGTCGACAAACAAATAGTTCTTCAAAATGCAAATTATTCCTTATACATGCATATACAGATGTGTATAAATATACATATGTATATATATGTATATAGAGAGATATGTATATATATATACAAATATATGTGTAAAAAGACATGTCATGGCTAGCATCGCAACAACACCATGTTGGCCGACCAAACAGAAATCTGGCCCCATGGCCTCCCTTGGCCCGGCGACGCGACTCAGCTAGTGCCTTGATCGCTGAGCAGCCGAACTACGCTCGTCATGCCGAAGGGGTTGTCAGGCACAATCCTTGGGCCAGGATGTCAGAGGCCGATGGAGGGAATCCACGCAGGATGTGACCCCGTAAGATACTGCCAGGACAGGAAATAAACAAGCAACAAACACAAAAACACACACACACACACACAACAAACACGCCAGCAAGCCAGCAAACAAAGAAGGAAGCAAGCCTGCAAGCAAGCCATCAAGCAAGCAAGCCAGCAAGCAAGCATTCAAGCAGACAAACAAACAGACACACAGGCAGACACATAAACAAAACAACGAAGCTAAACACAGTTAGCTTGATCGGTTGCCATTGCTACCAAAAAGATCTATCAGCTGAACAGTTGCCAACTCCATAGGTAAGTTGCATGTCTGAGATGTTTTGGAGCAAGTTGGATCTCCTGCGCAAAAGGTGGGTTTCATGGTGGTTGGCTCTCAGGAAGGGGCCAACGGTTTGACACATCCTCACCATATGTCTTGAATGCCATTTGAGGGTTGCTAAGGTCAACGAAGAAGGACCCGTCACAGGGAACACCAGAATCAGGTTTTAAGGTCTCAGAGACTATGATTACTGGTAGGGATTGCCTTGACGTGGCTAGCCCACAATCCGCAAAAAAATGGAATCATGCCACCGGTCGGGGTGCCATCGTGGGCACCAAGGACAATTGCCCATGTCTCTGCATGGCATTCAGGGAGCCTTCAACATGGGCCACGGGCTCATTTACTCCAGGTATGATGGAAAATTGTCCATGTACTGTCTGAACGCATCCAAGGCAGCGGGGCTCAAGCACTGAGCCATCAGCCATCCCCAGCCCATCTCCCCCCGGGTAGTCATACCGCATTCATGTCATGCACGCATGCTTGTCAAAGCTTATGTGATTTTCCTTCCGGCTCAAAGGGGACAAGCTGACGAAGCTTCCCCCAATATACTGAGCATGTTGGCCTCTTATGGCAATACAGGGGCATTCGTCCCAAGGGGTCGCACTATTTGCCCAAGACAAGGGAATCCAGTTTTGCTCCTCATTGTCCACCAAGCATAGGTGAATCCTGCATCACCGTGAGAACTCGCTCAGAAAGCAGCTCCCTGTGTGCCGTCCAAGCTGCGCGTCCTGCCTGGCCAGAAATCCATACACCAAATATTGCCCGAGCTTCGCGTTGGTTCCGAAAAGGGCCCCAATCTCAAACAAAAACCTCATGTCTCGTGCACATACTGCACAACCAAATTTTCGTGCCTCCTAGCTGTAGCATTTGGTACATGCTTACTGGACTGCCCAATGTGTTCGCTAGATATGTTGGCTAAACACAGTGTTATCCACAAGTCTCTCTCCCTCGTGCCATCGAATACCCACGATTGCAAAGCTGCCTTTTCTTTTTTCCCACCAAAGTCCCCCCCCCCCGCAAATGACGTGAATCCAGAATGACAAAATTGGGTGCATTGACGGCAATTCGCTGATTAACGACCTGTACAGGTGTCCCAAAGACAAGTTTCACTTCTCAAACGTTGAATCTTGGACACGTAAAGGTTTGCTGCTGAGTATTAGCAACTGAAGCATGCAGAAGAAGTGTGAGCCGCTTTGTCAAGGGCCTCTTACGCTTTTACCCCCATGAGAAACCCACCCAGGTGGTATTGAAATCGCTGCAGGGAAGCTTTAGAAGCAGCAGTCCTGCAAGCAACGCTCTGCCTGTCTTAGGCAGCTGCGTCGCAAACCCCATCGCCATGGCATGTGTTCTGCCTCGTGCGACGCTGTCGGCGCCTGTTCGGGGTTTCGTTGCCTACAGCTTTTGCACTACTCGCCCTGCCAAAACCCTGAAACACAAAGTTCAGCTTGGTACATTGGTGTTGATTGAGTTTGCTTATCCAATCTTCAAAGTCACAAAGTTGGTTGGCCCAACCAGCTGCTTGGTCTAGGGTCTGGGCTGGTTGTTCTCACCTTGCTTTCCACTGGGCCCATGCTGAAAGGACCCCGCGCCAGTGCTGACCCTCAGAGGCGGGATCGCGTAGGTGATTTGGTCAGCCACCATGACAACTTGAAGATTGGAAGCACGCCAAACCAAAAAAACTGAGGCTCTTGGAAGCCACAATCACAAATGGGTGTGGGTCAAAAATATGTACCCAAAATGGACCCTGGTAAATGGAAACTTCAACTACAACCTGCGGTCCCCTGGTGGTTTAATTTTGACACACACCCAAATGAGCCCCACGATTAGTCGGGGTAATTGCTAATAAAGAATCGCAGCCCTATCGTCATTTATCCAATCTTCATCCATCCATTCCCGACTGTGGAGAATTAGGAAATGGAGAAGACGGATGAGAGGGGTCCCAAATCCCATTACGCGGTTTGTCTTGTCTCTCCGGTGCTTGGATGGTGATTAGAGAGAGGGCTGAATGAGTGTGGAAGGGATATGAGGTGAATGGCATTTTCTTTCGCATTCCCCAAGTATGTTTTGCAGAAACTGGGACTGCATTGGAGAGAGAAAGAAGAAGGGAATTGAGTCCACCCGTCCTATCCCTCTCTTCTCCCATTATTTCCAAAAAAAATATGATTGGGAGAAGAGAGATGAAGCGATCATCCATGATATGACTTTGGACAGCTCCTTGCTTTCCTTCATCGCCCATCCTTCTCCCCCAACCAAAAGATCTTAAAGAATCACGGGAGCGAAGAGGGACAAAGTGCCTGCCAACCAGCAAACATGACTCGGTGGTGAATGGGCGGGAGACAGCAAATGAGATGACAATGATAAAGCCTTGAAAGGTGGCGGTGAAAAGCAATGCTGGCCACCTTTCCCAGTACTTCCTTATCTCTCCCTTTCATAATTTCATTATCTTAATCCCAACGCTTGGAAATGATATTATGGCAGAGATAAAGTGCCCATTCACCGCTCCAACAGACAGGATATAGAGGTGAACCCTTCATTCCTCTCCACACCGCCAACCAAGGGATGGCCAATGCAGCTGGGTGGGGAAGGAATGGCCAATTTCCAATCCCGAAGTAAGTAGAATAAATGCAACTGGTGAAGAGATGACTTTCCCTTGCCTCTTCTCTCTCGAAGCCTCGCAATTCCTAATTTGGAGAGGTTGGGAAGGGAAGGTGATAACTTATCACTCGCCTACAGAATGAATCCGAGGATTGATAGTAAAGAGAAAGAGAGAAAGAGAGAGAGAGAGAGGGAGAGAGAAAGAGAGAGAGAGAGAGAAAGAGAAAGAGACATTCCTTCCCTCGCACCATCCAGACTTCATTCACATCCTAGCATGAAGTCGTTCATTTTTGTAACATTCTGATGTTGGGTGAAGGAAGGGATGAGGGAGGAAGGGATGAGGCAAAAGAAGCTTAGACCGATTGGTGGTGGTCATCCGTTCGTCCATCCTCTCGTTTCCCTCGCTTTCATACCCCTTCCCTTATATCCTTTCCGTCTTCCCCGGCCGCACATCTCTCATTTCAGGTTCTCTCCGCTTGCCTGAGCAGCATGACACAAGCAGCAAGAGCTGCCGTTGCCTACCATGTGATGCTCTTCCGGAAATGTGGCGGCCCGCCTGCCATTTATAGTAGCGTGGACACTCTCCACTTAGCTTACAACCTGGAAACATACGGTCTTACCCTTTGGCTTGCCACAGCAAATTCCTGAATCAGCTTGTGGTGCTAAGCAAACCATCATGATCTTGTTCATTTCAGTGGCATGGCTGCGGAAAGCGTGCATCATCATATTGCTCAGGCGCTTTGGCTCAGGGCCGCAGTACTTTTCTCAGCTTGCCGCATAACCTCGGCCACAGCACAGTTCAAGCGACGTGCGCTGCTAGACAGGCAATGACCAGTCTCAGCCCCGTATAGGGAGCAATGAAAAAAAGCACACTGATAATGCTTATACCTCAGAGGGCATTGGAATACGAGAGGTTGCAATTCCCCTTCTTTTTGGTGGCCACTTTGGCAAGTGTCTCGTAAAAAGTAACTTGACAAGACTTGCAAAGATGTCCACGAAAACCATCAAACTTTTGCACTGGTTCAAAAAAAAAACTAGCAAGAAGGATCCAGCATCCAGCAGGCACAACACAAATCGGCTCTCAGATCACGCGACCGACAGAGCGCGCCCGTGGCCTTCCGAGAGCCGCAGGGCCACCAGCTGGAACTGGTTGGTGTCTTGCAAGGCCTCGGCCGAACACGCGTGGTCCCGCTGCGATGGGCCGCCGCCGCGGTCTGTTTTTTTAGACTAGGTCCTCCAGTACAGAGGTTAGAAGAAGTACACACTTTTTCTGCAGCCTATTTTAGTAGGGGAACACTCCCCCAAGAAAGGGTAAAAGGGCACTACTGGGGGACCTAGTGGAGGAACGCCCTTGCTTTAGAGCCATGGGAGAAACAACAACAATGTCCCGAATCTTGAGACACACCCATATGGATTCCGAAGGCATGGAGCTTGTGAAAAGCACCTCGATACATGGAAGCCTCTGTGCCTCCAAAACCCATACATGAATATGTTGTTGATTGTTGACAAATGGTCAATGTCCGTTCGAACTTCCTCACAAAACACCAACCAAACGGGGAGTCCGAAATTGTGAGGGCCCAATTTGACACACAGCTTGTGAAAGGCTCAGTAAATGTTTGCCCAGCTGCATGGGGGCCTGCAATTTCTGTCAAAATTACGTTTTTTTTTTGAATTGTTTTGTGTCTTGTTTAGCATTGCTTTCAGGCGGCAAGTCTGGCCTTTTGCTGGAAGCTTTGTGTTACCAGCTGGCAAGCTTCTGCCCAAATGGCTCAACTAGTGGTGCAATCACGTGGTCGGGAACTTGCTGCAGCCCGGAATGGCTGCGGGCAAGCATCATGATCGTGTTCATTGTTTTGAATGCCTTGCTGTTGCACGAAGAAACAGAGCTTTGTAATCAGGGACTCAGTGTTCCATATGTTGCCAAGTCAATCCGCCAAGTAGTGGAATCCATGGTCTCCAGTTTCTAACTTTGATAACTTGTTTTCTGGTTTCATCCCTTTTGTTGGCCTGTTGTATAGAAGAAAAAAACACAGGGGCGCAGGGGCATGCAAACAATGCATCATGGGTCCTGTGGGCCTTCCGCTCTGGGTCCGGGCGAAGTGAATGGGGCTGTCCAGCCCAGCATGAGCCGAGCCTTAGGCGCGGAAGGTGATGTAACTTCCAATCAGGAACTGTGGGGGTAGGGTGGCAAACAGGCACAGGTGGCAAACAAGGTTGAAACCGACTCATGTTGAATTGGTCAACTCTTGAACTTTGAATTCTTTGGGAAAGATCCATTGCGGTTGACTTAAATTAACTGACAATTCGGCTGGGCGGGTTCAGAACAAAAAGCAGAATGCCCAACGAATCATGGTCGGACGGGCCGTTGTTCTGCACAATTGCAGTGGGTGGATCCAAAAGATTTTTCAGGGGGGGCTGAAACTATGTCCCTGATGTGGTTTCCAGCTTTGCAACGGCCAACAGGTAAGTCAGCGACTCGGCTTACGGCAACCTGCCACCTGTGGCTTCACTTTGATAGCCGGGTGAAAAATCGCTCTGTTGCGATCTCTGTTGAACGGGTCGGAATAATCATTCCTCAGACTTGTAAAAACACGGTGTGTGCGATTATATTATGTATTTGTTCTTCGGTCGGCTGACCTGCTAGAAAGCGAAAGCTTGCCGCATTCCGACGGGTACAAGCATGATGCACATAGCATACAGACTCCAAGACCTGTTCCGAAAAGTGGGCCTAGCTTCCAAGACCGCCATCATGCCATGGGCTGTTGAGGACGTACCGATGGGTGACAGTTAGGACGCACATTCATTTCCACAAGCTGCTCAATCAGCATAAACTGTTCACAGTGACAGTCTTGGCATCTTTTTGCGAAGGCTGTTGTCACACACCCCAGAGTGCAACCCGAATGACTCCAAACCGATGAAAACAACACGCATGCATGCATATGTATACATATATGCATATATACATACAAAACATCCCTACATTGTTGGTATGTGGCGAACAATGGGCTATGGTTTCCTGGTGAATTGGAGTACACCGCCATGATACAACCCTAGAGATACTGCACGATATTGGCCCTGGATTTCGAGTCTTTGCTTGCGACAGCTTGACGGTTGCACGTGCTCAAAGGGGTAGCAAGTGTATGTTCAAACTACTGCCGCCTTAACGCTTCTCAACTTCCTGTTGGCGGGTTTCTGTTCCAGGGGGCCAGGTCTTTGGAACGAATGTTGCAACCTGAAGCTGGGCCTGCCCGCGGTGCACCAAGCGCGCTTGTCGCCCTGCTGACCTGATTGGGAACCGGACGCGTCTAGGAGCAACCGGTACGTACAAGACGGGTGTCTCGAAACAGGGGGCACCGCCAATGGACAAAGTGGTTGGCTTCCTTTGGCTCTTTTAACAACCCCCAGAGCGGGTACCCTCTGCGAAAGGGTTTGAAACAGTATTTCGGGAGAGAATAAACAGGCCCAATCCCACCAACAAGAAGAGATTGTTTAAGTCCCCCAGTCCCAAGGGCAAAGCGGTGCCCCCGGCTAACCAAAACAGGGTGCCTTTAACCAAAAGATGAATGAACCCAGCAAGGGCAGAGACAACCGAAAGCAAGCACAAAGCAGCAAACCAAGCAAGCAAACAATGCGAAGCGCAAAGCAAACCAAATGCAGCACCCTCCCAAACCCGTGTCCTGACCCACCTCCACGACCAAGCCCCAACCGCGGCCTCCCAGCAACGCGCACCTTTTGCGCGATGATGGACGCCGCGCCGTTGAAAGGCGCCGTGACGAGTATGGCAAGTGTGAGTTTGCCAGAGGGAAAACTTGAGCCAAATGGCGCATTGGCCATGGCAATGATCAAACATGCTATGATAAAGTTACATGCCCCCAAAAACACCCCCCTCGCCTGTACAAAGAAAGGAAGTGAATTTGGAAGGGCGCATTGGCCATGTTGAAGTTGAAAAGCAATAAACAAGAAAACAAAGCCGATTAGGCTACCAGGGTTCGCGGCCCCATACCCGGGCACTCATTGGTGCCCGGATCCCGCCACCACCCCGAATTACGGGTATGGAGCGGATTCGCGCCGGTAGCCAAATCAAACAAGAGAAAGCAAAACGAAGCAGAAACAAAGATTCAACTCCAGAATGGCAGGCATGAAATAAAATTACATTTGCAATGCAACCACAACGAGCCGCAAGGTTCAAGTGGATTTAGTTCCTGAATTCATGATTTAGGCGCATTGGCCTACTGGTTGAAACATGGTGCTTTGACCACAAGACCTTGGTCTTTAAAGTAGCACCGTCTAGGCGCGCGATCACACAAAGACCTTCAGTAGGAACACCACCAGCTGCAATCAGCGGTTCAGGTCCGAGTAGGACTTCACCGGCAGCGGTGCAGCGCATCCGTGATCCTCACCGCAGCACCTTGATGAGTTCCATCTCCAGCAGCAGCAGCGGTGCTGGACGATGCTGACAACCAGCGGCCGTAGACACCGGCGAGGGTAACTGCCTTGCTGCGGCGACGCACACCTGACAGATAATCGCTGCCAGCGCGAATAGCGCACAGCTGCGCATGCAGTTGAATTCTGGAATGGCGAATAGCCCAAACATAGAAATACTACAGGGAGCATTGTCCATTTTGTGAATTTCGGAATGAAAGCACGCGCGCGTTGGCGCCGCTACGCAAAAGATGCAGACGGACACCAGGTATTACCGATGTCGTCCGCCGCCGTGCCGTCCCCTCCCCTTGTTGACGTTCCAGTCCCCAGGAGGAGGAGGCACGGTCTCGGCCAACTCATCATCCGCACCCCAGGTAGGGGTATGCGGCGAGTTCGGATTCTCGAACTCGCGTGGATCACCCTGCATGTGCGGCTGCCAACCCTGCTGCATTGCGCCAGGCCACATTTGCGGCATCATGCCAGCCATTGGCTGTTGCATGTACCCTCCCATTGGGAAAGCGGGGTACATCGGACTTGGGAACGGGAAAGGGGCTGCCTGAGCACCCTTGTATCCCGACCCGCGAGCATCAGGCTGATACCCGCCAGTGGGAGTTCTCGATCTGGCGGATCCGCCACGACCGAACTGCCCTTGTTGGTAGCCGTATTGGCCACCCTTGCCTTTGTACTGATCACCTTTGTGACCCTTTCCTGGGAACTGGTCACCCTTGTGACCTCCGCCCTTGGGCCAGGATTGTGCAGGGGCTTTGCCCTTTTGCTGATCACCCTTTGACCTGGATTCAGGTCGCGGGGTAGCAGACCGTTGGTCTCCCCTAGGAGTGGCTGCCCGCCTGTGGTGCTTCCCAACCGGCGGGTCAGCAAAGACAATGGCGCATTGGCCGTCGCGCCGCGAAGCGGGGACCATGTCAACCTTATTGTCTTCGACATAAATGTATGCCTCAGCATACTCAATTGGGGCCGTGATGGATCCACCACTGGCCCGCAAAGAGTCGATATTCCAATCAAGAACAGTGGAAGCGTCGAAACTCGGATCTTCAGTATTGAAGTCCGTGAGGCGTCGCTCAGCCTGTACCAACGACATTATGATGTCCGCGCGTGAGGCGCCTAGGCCATACAGCGGAACCAAATACCCGTCCTCAATCCCGATGCGGTAGGCATCAAAGATATGCACAGAGAGGTAAAGGGCAAATGCTGAATTTAGACTGCCCTTTCTCGTCATATGACGACCCCATTGCGCCGCCTGTTGCGGGTGCTCGATTAAATATGCCATGACAGACATATTGTCGGGAATCGAGACGCCAGTGTTGCTCTCCTCGATGAGCAGCTGCTTCGCTACCCACCGCTCGAGAGCCTCATCACTCGCCCGCACACAAGCGTGAGTGTCCTTTGAGGTGACCTTTGCAACCTCCTGAAACGCAACTTGCACAATATCCGCATTGGGAATGTGCACAAGATGCGGCGCGCAGCGCAAACCGGTGATCATGCAGCTGACCACCTCGCGAATCGGGTTTACCGATGCCATGAGAGGGGCCCACGCGTCGGTCTCCCCTTCATGCCAGCTGCTGGGGCGGACTGCTTTGAGTTCGCTCAGCCAGATTGGCTGTCCATGCTTAACCAGAGCGCGGACGGTGCCTGGCACCCATTCACGATAGAAAATCGGCAGATGGCAACCATTGCATAGAATGGTGCCATACATGTTCAAATGCGCGCACCGAGGGCACCAGTAGTCATGCATGGGAGCATTGTCCCATGAAAATGACACCCCTCTCCGCGGTCCCTGAACATTCAACTCACGGACCGCCCAGGGGCGGATGTATATTACATCCCCTTCCTGATGCAGATAGCATGCGCGCCAGAATGGCGCATGTATCTCTTCCCGCACGGCGATCAAACCGCGTCGGGTTTTGTAGATGCCGGCGGCTTCCTCGATGGCCATCCACTTTAGGTCAACGGCCACAACGACATGGCGCTTGTCCATGTACTTGACGCGGTCGTCAACATAAAATTCGCCCTCATTATTGGGGCTGGGCAACTTGAGGAAAGGCACCTTTGCGCCCTCCATCCCAATCATGATCTCCCCCCTGCAGACCTGCTCAGGTCGCATGGGGAAAACTGTGATGGCGAATTTGCCAGGCCTCCGGATGCACCTCGTTTTGAGGGCGGACCGATACTCGGCCATCGTCAGCAGCACGTATCCCGTATAAGGGACTTCTGCTGCTCCCATCGGCCTAAGCAAAGGCCCCATAGGCGTTCGGTCACGCAGTGCCCAACGCTTGAAAACTTTGAACGGCACGTCCCTCCCGATTAGGGTGGACCGCGCAAAAAGCACCTCATTCGGGCGCACACTCGTGCCATCTGTCCTCCAGACTGTCCGTATTAGGAGCTCGACTGGAGGGTACGATGGGCTTTCCTTTGCGAGAGCACCCGCCCAGGTCGCTACCTCGACACTCGTGCACTTGTGGATCCCGTATAGGGCCTCAAGTAGCGTTGAGATCAGAGTCATTGACATCCAACCTCCCAGAATGTCTGGAACCGTCCCAAACAAGAAGGGAGGCTGCTCACCGGGCTTCACGTTTAACCGCGTAGGGTCAGTGTTGCCCGACAAAACTTCTAGCAGCATTTGCGATTCCCTGGAGCTTCGTCCAACAAACGCCGACACATCCCTAATTTCGGGGAAAAAATGGAAGATGTCATTTCCGGCAGGACAGGCGATTCTGCCTGCTATCCCGCCCTGTGCATCAATCACAACCTCTTCACCCTCGTATGTGAGGTTGTAGGTGCTCGTAATCGGGCACACACCGGGCTTAGCCATCAGTGCCTCTTCCAACGACGCACCTGTTGGGAGGACGCCCTGTACGTGCGACTTGGTACCTATGGGACCAGTACTCGCAGACATAAGCCGATAATTTTCGGCACGAAAGAATGGAAAAAGGTTCTTCATCCTTTCAATTTCTTCTTCAGTGGTGCGCCACGCCTTTGCCTCATAGTAAGGCGGCTCCTGCTTTGAGGGCACTAGGTCGCGGTCACCCATTGATGAGAATTTGTCCACATATGGACCCATTCCATCATCGTCTACATAACTCTCGTGATCTTCATCCGAGACGTACTCCTTGGGCGGCTCGCCCAGAGCGTCCAGATCGACCTTACCAAGGTCGACCAACGCCGGAGAATCCAGGACTCTCTGGATCCTCATGAGCTCGTTCCTAAACTGCTCAAAGCCTCCGGCCTTGTCAATCACGGAGGTCGGCATGGCGCCCTCCCATGATTCTGGAAACATGCACACGTTCGTAGGGGAATACTCGTCATCGGAAATATCCCGATCACGCTCCCGTACGTCGCTGATTAGTGTCACATCCAACGAGCCGCTTAGGGCCTCGGGACGCGACGCTTTCGCCGGATGCGGCTTTGCGCTCTTTGACGCTACAGCAGCCTCATTGGCCGCTTTGTCCTTCTTCTCGTCACCCTTATTCCCCTCCTTGTCCACATCCATTTCGGACGGCTGTGCGCTCCCCCTTGCTCCGCCCATTGGCGGTTCAGAGGGTTGAACAGGGGATTCCTTGGTACGGGCTTTGCCGTAATAATGCCCTGGGATCTGCACGTTCCCAGTGGAGCCACCGCCAGCCTCTCGCGGACGCTTGGCGGTGTGTGCCGACCCAGTATGGACAGCAGGCGCCGATCGCCTAGGAAGGCCCTTACTGGCCGACAGAGATGGAGGAGGTGGCTTCATTTTGGGAGCCGGCTCCGCCTTGGGCTCCGACTCCGGTTCAATTACGCAGGACTTGAGGTCGAAACTTTCAGACCTCAAAAGGCCCGCGCAATAGGAACGGAAAACGTCCTCAACTTC